AGAGTAGGTTTTCAGTCACCGAGTAGTTCCCTGAGCTGTTTTGCGAAATACTTACGGCTCGTTGAAATACCTGAAGATAATTCTAGCATACTATATATTTTCTGTATTGCTGGTATTGATTTCGAACTACACCCCGCCGTCTGACCGCTTATCACAATTATCCGGTTCAATACTGGTCAAACTAACCATTCGCCCGAAGCAACCAGTAGCTAGACGAAATAGTTGGCGCTTCTTTTCACTCGCCTCTGTGCCGCCGACACTTTCACGACCAGCAATTTTAATAGGGAAAGTATACGCACAGTCACAATCATGGCCGTATTATCACGTCTGATAATGGGTCATGTCGGACAGTCACAGTACAGTACCTCGCTATCACGCGTGATCACATCGCAATCACGCTTGGTCACAACTCGCCCCGCAGGGTTATCACGTTTGGTCACTCGTTGAGACGCCCGCCAAAAAGTCGAAACTCTAGAATCTACTGTATAGATTTGGGTAAAAATTATATCGCGTGCGTTTTGTCTGTAGCGAAAAACGTGATGTTATAGCTAAAATACACTCGGACCTTGTTAGGAACTGTAGCAGGATAATCCAGAGTCTGCATTTTGCAGTGAATCACCGCCATCAATAGCAGTTGCGATTTTACCATTTATCAATTTGGAATGATACCTTGACATTTTTGCTTGCTTACCCAGTAATAAATAATTCAAGTACGAAGTGTAGTTTGTATCTCAAACATATGTCAATCTGGATTATCTTGCATCAGTTCCTAACAAGGTCCGAGTGTATTTAGGCTGTCACATCACGTTTTTCACTACAGACAAAACACGCGCGAGATAATTCTACCCGAATCTTTACAGTAGTTTCTGGAGTTTCGACTTTTTGGCGGGCGTTTCAACAAGTGACCAAACGTGATAACCCTGCGGGGTGAGGTGTGACCAAGCGTGATAGCGCTGTGTTCACGCGTGATAGCGAGGTATTGTACTGTGGCTGCCCATGATGATCCCGTGACCAGACTTGATAATTTTGCAATAATTGTGACACCGCGTATAATCTCCCATTTTGAGGTATCACTCAATTCTCTTGGTGCTCAATGCCAAAATTGCAACTGTTGAATTCGGAGCCTGGTTGCAGTTTTCGCCTATGTTATGCCAATCACTCACATGGCCAATCAATGACCCCAATCTTCTCACGACATGGTGTAATGAAGTAACTCATTTTTGTTACCAGTGTCAGAGCCACTCAGGCGCAGCCTTCCAACAACTCCGTCCCTTCGCTTGGTGGGGCCTCCCCCGCCGACCAAAAGAGCCAGGCTGGCTCTCAAATGGTCGGCGCTCTGGGATTGGTCACGTCCCATTCCAAACAAAAAATGAGCGTCAGAAATGTGTCGTATACAACTTAGGATTCTGTTCCACATTGGCATTTAGCGCGGTTCGAGTCCAGCGTGGCAGAACAAGACACTACAGTATTTTCTGTCAACTGAACTCCACTCCAAGTGCAACCCTAAATCTCAGGCTCCCCTAATCACAACAGAACAGCAATTCTGCCTAATCATCTCCAACAACAGCACAGCTGCATCCATTCCGCACCACAGGCCACCCAACTCCAGCCAGGACAGTCCCCACCCGAGAATGCACGGAATGGCGCTCCGTTTTGTTCCGTCCCGTTCGGTTCTGTTCTGTTCCGTTCTCTTGTGCTGCCCAGTTCTGATCAGGCTGGTCTCACCCTCCCCGAATTGGGCAGTATTTCATGCAGACAACGTACGGCCGTGAAATGCGGCATTTCAATGCTCCAACCATCAACACTCCTTTTCAACTTGAAGCTGAATTTGAAATTGTGGCTGTGATGAAACGCGCTGCGTTCAACGGTGGATCGGATCCACTGAAGGTACTATTATATCCTCATCAGATACAGGTCATTTGAGCCTGCTTTTGCCAGACCATTAATAAGTCTATAGTAGTAGGGGAAAAATGTACACGGCTGCTACTAGCAGTGCTGTGCACACTCGATCACGTGACGCAGTGTGTAGAGTGGCAGTAGTGCTTTGCCTAGTAATCGCAACTCTTTGCCGGAGGATCCTCTGAGGGAAAACAACAGAGAACTACTACTCCATTGGCAAAAGCCTGACTTCGGATAGAAAATCAATGTGTTTCCTGACTTCTACCACTACCAGCAGCACTGGCCCAGCACCGTTGGGGACTCGCAGCAGGCGACCGGCGGCAGCAATGCCGCTTCAAGGAAAGAACGAAAGCCTTCCGTTTGCAAGGACCGTGGTTGGTGGCGAGAGAAAGGAAGAACGGCGGTTCTCAGAGAATCATTCTGAACGGGGCGGGCCAGGGAAGCATCATGATGATGACCATGTTGATACAGATGTGGAGTCAGGAGCGTACAAGGCTACTACTGCATCCGCCATTGCTGCTAGTAGCACTGCTATTACAATCAGCCAGGACCCCAGCAGGGGAGCTTCTGTTTCTAACAGTGCTGCGGGGCAGAGAAGGCACCAGTGGGGCGGAGGGAGGGATGGATTTCAGGAGAGAAAAGGAGAGGTGTTGGAATGTGGAAGCAGCCAGCAACGTCCCCAGCAAGGACTCCTTCCACTAGGGCTGACAATGGTTCAGCCACCGCCCCATTCCCAGGGGCCCTGTCCCAGTGACCATCCTGACCGTTCATCTCAACAGCGGCCGGCCTTCCGGGCCTCACTGGTGGACGGCAGGCTGCCGCCAGGTGGAACCGTTGTGCCACAGCATCCACCGCCCCATGATCCTCAGGGGCCCTGTCCCAGTGAACCTCGTAGAGAGCGCTCATTTCAACGGCAGGCCTTCCAGGCCTCACTGGTGGACGGCAGGCTGCTGCCGGGTGAGGCCGTGGCGCGGCTGCAGCTCCAAGCATCGCCACCACTGGCTGCGGAACTACCCCGACCAGGTGCCGCCGGTGCTACTTGTCGTCTGGCTTATCCAGTGCCGGCCGATCGGCAATATCAGCATGCCGATGGTGCTTATGATGATGATGATGATGACGCTGCAGGTATACCAGGTGGCGATCGCCTAGTGAATGCTGGTTGTGTCATCGTCGCAGGTGTACCAGTCGAAAGATCATTGCTACCTTCTGACACGGTCCCCTCATCTGACGTCGTCAGGCTCATCGATATTCTGCTCCGAACCGCCCGAGCTGGTTCGAGTTCCGAACCACTCATTCCCGAGGCTGCACAAGCTGCAGCGGCAACCCCTGTAGTCCGTGCTACAGACGCTGCAGGAAACGGCGCCAAGCAGGCTGACGTAGCAGCTGCATTTACCGCCACCTGCCGACTTGCTGCTACAACAGCATCCCGTGCCGCTAAGGTGACGCTGGGAGGGAAGCAAGGGCAAGGGGATTGGCTGCATCCCCTTCCAGTGTCCCAGCCTGGCACGAGAAGAAAAAGAAAGGAAAACACCGGTTCTGCTGCTGCTACGTCTGCTGCTGCTACAGCTGCTGCTGCTACTGCCACCGCCACAACTTCTATTACTGACAGCAGCAGACCAGGAAACGTGCCAAGACCCAGCTCCTTCACATGCACCAGAGGAGCCCTACCCAGCCAGCATACAACTCTTCTCTCCTCGCTCACCACCCTCCAAGCCAACGTATCCGCGTTACAAGCACTCGTTTGCATCCTTTCGCAGGTAGGCTGCTTGGATATTCCATTGTCAGGCCGTGTCCCAAATCCCCGTGCTTGGATAGTGCTCCTCACTATCTGTTCTGTGGCATCACAAGACGCAGCACACACTTTGCTGACGTGGCACCCACGGGATCCAGCTCACTGTTGCTCACCACTGTTGCTACGGCTCTGGCATTTGGCAGGCGTAAGCTAAGCACATAGCTCCAGTCACCCTGCTTGGCTATCTTGTTTCCCATTCCCTCTTTCTAGTGACGAGTCTTCATCGCCCTCTTTTCATCACCTTGTGCTGCCACCCTTGGTATATGATGCCCCAGATATTGCTGCCGGTTTCACCAATCTGCTAATGCGCTAATTGTGTGAGCATTGAGTTTCTTGCCACCATTGTATTACTGCCCTATTTCAGCAACAGCAGGAGGGAATGGAGAAGGAGAAGGAACGGCACGGGGAGGAGGAGGAGGAGGATGAGGAGGAGGAAGAAGAGGAGGATGAAGAAGAGGAGAAAAAAGAAGAGGATAAGGAAGAGGAGGAGAAGGACGAAAAGGGAGAGGCGGAAAAGGAGGAGGAAGAGGAACACCCACAACAGCAGGAGGGGAAGCGGCAGGAGCAGCAAGGAAAGGAGAAGGAGCAGAATGAGGACTGCGGTGTAAAGCAGGACGACGAGGAGCGGGAGAAGCAGGCTCAGGAGAAGCAGCGGAAGCAACAGCGGGATGCAGTGGCAGTGGGAATCGTTGGCATGATCAAGAACCTTGCAGTGGCTGCTGCGAGCCTTCTTCCCCCAAACCAGCAGCATGCCGCTCTCCTACCTCTGATCCCTCTGCTGCCGAACCTGCAGGTAGCGTCGGCTTTGCCGAGGCAGGTTCTGCCGAACCAGAATCTGCCGAACCAAGCTTCGCCATACCAGGCTCCGATGGACCGAGGGAGTAAGGAAGGTTCGGGTCCGGTGGCTCGGGGACAGGAAGCAGGTAAGGATGAGGAGCAGAGGGGTGAGGGGAATGAGGGAGATAGACATAGCATGGATGAGGAGAACGAAGGGGAAGAGGGAGAGGAGGAAGCGGAGGGAGGGAATGATGATGGTGGTGATGATGATGGTGACGATGAGGATATGGAGGAGAACGGGGAAGAGAAAGACGAGGAGGAAGAGGAAGAGGAAGGGGAAAAAGGCGACGAGGAGGAAGAGGATGCAGAGGAGGAGCAGGATAGGCTGCAGGAGAGGGAAAGAACGGAAAGGGATGGAGGAGGAGGCAAGGAGATGCAACTGCGGCCGCAGGTTGCAGTTACAGGTGATTTGAGAGTCAGGGAACGGCTCAAGGCTTCTCAAACAAGGCCGCACGATAACGAGTCTGCTGGTATGGGTAGCTGCTTGGCCGGGGATACCCGGTTGAAGCGCAAGCAGCGCGGCGGGGAGGTTAGCCCCCGCAGGCGCAAGAAGCTGAAGCAGCTGCTGCTGCAGATGCAGGCAGTGCTGCAAGAGAGGGTGGCGCACGGGGGAGGACCGGGGACAGGAGGAGTGGCAACGCCAACAGCAGCAGCAGCAGCAGCAGCAGCAACAACAGAGGCAGAATCAGAGGCGGCGTCAGCAGCAGCAGTAACAGCAGGAACAGCACGAACAATAGCACATACAGCAGCACAAGAACCACCAGCAGCAGTAACAGCAGAAGCACCACCACCACCACCAGCATTAACAGCAGCAGCACTACCACCAGAAGCAGTAACAGAGGCAGCAGCACCACCAGTAGCAGCAGCACCACCAGCAGTAACAGAAGCAGCAGCACCCCCACCAACAGTGACAGCAGCAGCAACAGCACCAGCGGCAGATACAAAAGCGGTGAAGGCAGCACAAGGACCAAAGAAAGAAAGCATTGACTCTGATCCAGACCCGTTTGCATTTGACTGGGCTCCAAAGAGAGCAGCCAAAGCAGAGGGAAAGCAGGAGGCTGCGAGTGGAGCTGTCAGGCTGGGAGTAAAGCAGGAGGCTTCAGATGGTTCTGGGCCCTCGTGTGGCTTCACAGTCCGTCCCGACGCTCTCTGTGCTTCAAGGTGTCATCTCTACTCCTGCTGCTGCTGTCGCTCTGCCACTCTTTGCTCTGCTCCTCCTCCTACCTCTGCTCCTCCTACCTCTGCTCCTCCTCCTACCTCTGCTCCTCCTACCTCTGCTCCTCCTCCTACCTCTGCTCCTCCTCCTACCTCTGCTCCTCCTCCTACCTCTGCTCCTCCTCCTACCTCTGCTCCTCCTACTACCTCTGCTCCTCCTCCTACCTCTACTCCTCCGAGCTCTGCTTTCTCCCAGAGTTAACTACTTACCCATGAAGCGTTTTTTTTTTCTCCCTCCCTCAGTCATTTTCTTCCTCCCTACCTCCCTCCCTCTCTCCACCCACATCCCCCCAGCTCTTCCCCCACGGCCTTCACCTGCCCAGTACCGGGCTGCCAGCACAACGAGCACCACCCGCGCTTCCTCCCCAGTCTCATCCCCTTCCCCTGTTCACGTCTACTGTTCTGCTCCTCTTCCTCTCCGCCCCCACCCCCCTTCAGCTCCTCCCCCACAGCCTTCACCTGCCCCGTGCCGGGCTGTCAGCACAACGACCAGCACCCGCGCTTCCGCCCGCTCAAGTCTCTCTCCTCGCTGCACACCCACCACCTCCGCGTGCATGGTTCCAAGCCATTCACTTGCTCCCGATGTCAGGTGATCGACCTCTTTCACTTTACTCCACTGTCCTCTCCTCTCCCGTCCTTTCCTCTCCCCTTGTCGCATCCCATACCCTCCGCCCTCCTCCCATCTCCTCTCCTCTCAACTCCTCCCTTTTTCTCTCCTCACATCTCTTCTCCTTTCATTCCTCTTTATCTGCTTCAACATCTCAGATCTCACATCTAACTTTCTACTCACGAGGGGTGGTGTGATCACGTGGTGCTCTCCCTGTGGCGACTCAAACATCCTTCGAGTCTCTCTAATCTGATATCTCTAATCGTTCTGCGCAGGTCAAGTCCTTTGGCCTCCAATCCGACCTGCGAGCACACGAGAAGCAGTGCGGTGTGAAGCGGTGGCACTGCTCCTGCGGGAACTCCTTCAGCAGAAAGGACAAGCTAGCCAACCACCTCAACACCTTCACCGACCACTCCCCTCTCTACAACCTCCAACCAGTCGACATCCCCGTTCAGCCAAGGCAGAAGCAGCAGAAGAAGAGACAGCTTGAGGCACAGACGATGCAGGTAGAGGTGCAGGCGAGGCAGCTTGAGGCGGGTGTACAACAGGTAGAGGCGCAGGTGGAGCAGGCTGAAGCCCAGAGGAAGCAACTGGAAGCCCCTCCGAAAAACGCCAGGCACATAAACCACGTGGCATTCACGGATCAGTCCCCTGCCAGTGCCAGTCACGTGGGGCGCTCTGCCAGCTGTGCTTCCGAGGGGACCCACCCCTGGGGGCAAAACGCCGTGGAGAGAAACGCATTGGAGAGGAGTGGCTCACAAGGGAACGAGGCGAGGAGTGGGTATGTGTCGCTGCTGCTGCAAGAAGCGCAAGGGTTGGACCAGAAGTCTCCCTTGCAAGCAGAGGGTTGTGAGCTCCGTGAACAGGCTCAGCACTCCCAGCAGTCGCAGCAGACCCAGCAGACCCAGCAGACCCAGCAGGCCACACTGATGGACGAGACTCATGCATCCCCTGCTCTCACCACCCTGCCAATGAACACGCCTGTGCCACCCCTGCAAGCACCCAAGCCCCTGGGAAAATGTGCCCTACCCTTACCGCAGCACCACACCTCCCCGGCCTTGCTGCAGCACCACCCCTCCCCGCCCTTGCCACAGCAACACTTGTCCCCACCCTCGCGGTCAGCACAGGTGCTTCCTCTGTCTCTGCCAACCCAGCTGCCCACACAGTCTGTCCCCGCTGCAGCCCTACTCCACCCTGCACAGTCAACGCAGTCAACACAGTCAACGTGGGCTATGCAATCCTCGCCGCCTGTGCAGCGCCTGCCATCTGAACGGCCAGTGCAGTCAATGCAGTCTACGCAGCGAATGCAGTCAGCACAGTCCGTGCAGTCAATACAGTCAACGCAGCCAGTTCCACTTGCCACTTTAAGCGCCCCTTCGGTTCTCCCGGTGCTCCCTCCAACTGCCCCAGTGATCCATCCAGTTGTCCCCTCGGGATTCCCTCCTTCCGAGCCTTTCCCTCCCTCCGAGCCTTTCCCTCCCTCCGATCCTTTCCCTCCCTGCAAGCCTTTCCCTCCCTCCGATCCTTTCCCTCCCTCCGATCCTTTCCCTCCCTCCGATCCTTTCCCTCCCTCCAAGCCTTTCCCTCCCTCCGAGCCTTTCCCACCCCATGCACTGGCTGAGCCCACGGCTGATCTGCCAATGCTGGATTCACACGCTCATCTGTCGAGCTCTGATGCTGACCTGTCAACATTCAATCACAATGTTGACCTGTCAACATCGAACTGCGATGCTGACCTGTCAGCGCTGGAGGCGTCGTGTCGGGCGATTATTGGTTCGGGGAAGAATGAGGCCCTCGAGACTTCGTGTAAGCTGATCCTCTTGGCGCTGCAGCAGCAGCAGCAGCAGCAGCAGCAGCAGCAGCAGCAGCAGCAGCAGCAGCAGCAGCAGCAGCAGCAGCAGCAGCACCAGCAGAAGCAGCAGCAGCAGCAGCACTTACAGCAGCGTCAACAGCAGTCGCAGCAGCAACCGCAGCAACAGCAACCACGACAGCACGGGCAGGACCAGCAAATTCAGAAGCAGCCGCACCAGCAACAACAACAGCAACCGCTGCATGAACTACAGTCGCAACAACAGCAGCAACCGCAGCAGCAACATAAGCAGCGACTGCAGCAGCAGCAGCAATCTCGGCAGCGGCAGCAAGTAGAGGTGCATGTGTGGGCGCAGAGGCAGAAGATGCAGCAGGTTGAAGCATCGCATCAGCAGCAAGGGCAGCAGCAACAATTGGTGCAGCGGCTGCAACAGGGACAGCAGCAGCAACTGCAGCAACAGGGGCAGCAGCAGCAACTGCAGCAACAGGGGCAGCAGCAGCAATTGCAGCAACAGGGGCAGCAGCAGCAATTTCAGCAACAGGGGCAGCAGCAGCAATTGCAGCAACAGGGACAGCAGCAGAAATTGCAGCAACAGGGGCAGCAGCAGCAATTGCAGCAACAGGGGCAGCAGCAGCAACTGCAGCAACAGGGGCAGCAGCAGCAACTGCAGCAACAGGGGCAGCAGCAGCAATTGCAGCTGCAATTTACGCAGCAGCAGCATCGACAGCAACACAAACACCAACCGCAACAGCAACAGCAACAGCAGCAACAGGGGGGGCAGCAGGTGCAACAGGTGCAGCAACAGCAACAGGGGGGGCAGCAGGTGCAAAACCAGGTGGAACGGCAAAAACAGCAGCATTTTCAGCAGCAGCCGTCCAGCCAGGTAGTCCCACCGCCCTTTCACCACCAAGAAACCACCTGGTATAGCCAAGAACCCACCTGGACTAACCATGAACCCAGCTGGGCTAACCAAGAACCCAGCTGGACTAACCAAGAACCCAGCTGGGCTAACAACCCTGTGCCAGCCCCCTATACAGCACCTACTACTGACCCTCCATCCCAACCCTTAACCCGCGGTCTTCCTCTCCAGTCAACGCCAGTAGCCACTGAATTTCTTGAGTCAACACTTGAGTCAACCCTAGAGTCAACGTGCCTTCCACCGCCCCACCATAGCTGGAACACCGGGGTGGCCCTTGAGCCAACTCAAGGGTCAGCTGACCTTCCACCCCAGCTTCAAAGCCCAAGCCATCAAGTGGCCCTTGAGACTAACCTAGAGCCAACTGACCCTCCACCTTCCCACCATACCATCCCAACACGCCATCACAGCCTCATTCACGGGGTGCCTGAGGATGGCACAGGGACAGTCGGGGGAATATCGCTCGAGGAGCTTTTTCCCGAGCTGCAAGGCAGCTTCTGAGACTCTCTTTTATAGGCGCCTCAAAACTCGCCTCTGTTTTTTAGGCGCCTCGAAACTCGTCTCTGTTTTCGAGGCGCCTCAAAAACAGTCAGGGTAACGACTCTGGAGGAGTGCTTTCCTATCCCAAGCTTCAAGACCCCTTCAAATCTCTGCTTCAGTTACGCGTTCATGCTTTGCCGCCTTACCACAATCTCCGCAATAGACTTATCAAGTCCCCATTCATACCTTTTTTCCTAGTCCTACGAAGCAACCCACCCATACTTAGCTGAAAGTTTCAACGGTGACCACACGGCTTGCTGCGTTTCGAATCCTTCATTACTCCGCAAGAGGCTACCGCTTCAAGACCCCTTCAAATCTCTGCTTCAGTTACGCGTTCATGCTTTGCCGTCTTACCACAGAGTGTGGGGCAAAGGAGAACCAAACTTCGAGGCTTGAGATGTCTCGAAATTCCAGGATACGATTGTAGGACCAGGCTGAGTGGTTGACAGCCTCAGGCCTGCAGGGTCCTTATTAGTCATATGATCATATATATTTTCCGCAACTAGGCTTCTACCATAATATAATGTGTTCCTTTACTGGTCATTGTGCCCGTAAATAGGCAATGCATCTTGCAAATAGGCAAGACCTTTTTGTAACCTGTTCCGTTTTTAATTGATTGTTTCTGCTGCACGTTGACTAGTGAACCATCCATCGTCAATCAGGCTAGGAGCTCAGAGTCTCAGTCCCTCAACCAGCGCTGCAAGGATACTGCCACTAACCACAAAGCGAGCAGCGCCCAGCGCAAGGTGGGTAATCCCCAGTGCAAGGTGAGTGATGACCGGCGCAAGGAGAGTAGCCACACCACCTTGCAATGCAACACCATAGATGAGACAAGACACCCAACATTTGAGACGTCTCAAACACCATAGATGAGACAAGACATCCAACATTTGAGACGTCTCAAACACCATAGATGAGACAAGACATCCAACATTTGAGACGTCTCGAACACCATAGATGAGACAAGACATCCAACATTTGAGACGTCTCAAACACCATAGATGAGACAAGACATCCAACATTTGAGACGTCTCAAACACCATAGATGAGACAAGACATCCAACATTTGAGACGTCTCAAACACCATAGATGGGACAAGACATCCAACATTTGAGACGTCTCAAACACCATAGATGAGACAAGACATCCAACATTTGAGACGTCTCAAACACCATAGATGAGACAAGACATCCAACATTTGAGACGTCTCAAACACCATAGATGAGACAAGACATCCAACATTTGAGACGTCTCAAACACCATTGATGAGACAAGACATCCAACAACGCATCAGATGCAATGCAATGCAACACCATAGAGAGATATAAACACAATATCCAACATGATACAGCCATCGAAGCAGCAGGAACAACATTATTCAACCGCCACGGTGAATCATCTAAGCAGCAGCAGCAGCAGCAGGCGCTGGTTCTGGCAGGAACTGCACCGGAACATGCTGCAGCATCTGAGCCCACAGGTCTAGCGGCCCTGGAATGCAATCTGCAGCATCTGAGCCAGCCTTTCTTTGAGGCGTCTTGAAAAACATCTAAGCAGCAGCAGGTTCCGGCTCTGGCAGAAGCTGCAGCAGCACGTTCTGCAGCATCTGGGGCCACAAGTCCTGCGGCCCGAGCATGAACTTTCCAGCATCTCAGCCGGATAGCCCTTCCTTGAGGCGTTCCAGAAAAAAATTTAAGCAGCAGCAGCAGCAGGTTCTGGCTCTGGCAGCAGCTGCAGCAGCACGTTCTGCAGCAGCTGAGCCCACACGTGCTGCAGCTCGGGAATGCAGTAGTGCAAGCACTCCTCGTGATTCAACTCCGGTATAACCCCTGGTGCGAGTCCGGTCGAAGCACCGTCACCGTGGGTCTAGGCAGCAGCAGGCACCGGCGCTGGCAGAAGCTGCAGCAGCACGTCCTGAAGCATCTGAGCCCACAGGTCCTTTTCCAGGCCTCATTTTGGCGTTCAAAGAACATCCCAGCAGCAGGAGCCGCAGCAGCATTGTGTCATCTAGGCGTCAACAGCAGGCGCCGGCTCTGGGAGTAATTGCAGCAGCACGTTCTGTAGCATCTGGGCCCACAGGTCCTGCGGGCCTGGAATGCAGTAATGCAAGCAGTCCTCGTGGTTCAACTCCGGAATGAACCCCTGATGCGAGTCCGGACGAAGCACCGTCATCGCCGCTACATCCAAGTACACGCCGCCCACCTCCTCCACTGCCGCCCGCGCCAGCTCGTTCTGCTCGTGAAACTTCCCCCAGAAGAACGGCAGGTTGTCCGTGGGACCCGGCACGAGCAGCGGCTTGTCGTGTTCCGAGCAGTTGGCATGGCCTTGCACGGTGGTTCGATAGATCAAGAGCGCGTCCGGGAGCTTGTTCCGGAGAAATCGCACCGTCGAACGGACCGCTGAGATGAAGTGTCGGTCCGGGCGGTAGTGCGCGCCGCGATTCAGTATAACCACGCGGGCGCCGGTGAGCAAAGAGAGGCGGGCGAAGGGGACTCGGTCGAACTTGATCTGCGAGTTGGAGAGCTGGAGGTAGTCGTGGCGAATGAACCGGATGGTGAGATTGGCGCACACGTTGCTGTGCAGCTTGTAGTCTCGACAGAAAGAGTGCCTGGCATGGTCTGGTTCGATCAGCTCGCTGCATTCCTTTGGGATCGTTTCCTCCACGGCCCACGTGGCGGGTTTCTTTACATGTGTAAGCATGTTGTTCACCAGCACGCGCACAAACTGCTCCTGTAACGAATCGCCTATAAGGAGTACAAGCGCGCCGCTCCCGTCGCCCTTCTCCCTCACAGCCTCCCCTTTGAAAGCCGCCTCTTCCCTCTCCTCCTCCTCCTCTTCTGTCAGCGGCATTCCTGTTCCATTCCACCTTCTCCCTCTCACCCAGTCACACACCACTGGGCCATCAAAAGCATCCCATGCCCCACACTTACCCTCCGTGTCCCACACGTATTTCAGCTGGGGCCGTACGTCCCACTCCTCCTGCCGCACCTTCCTCTCTTCTGGAGGAAGTTTCATAATGGAATCTGCGATTTGATCTGCTTTGGAGACCACGACAGCAGTAGGGGATGCTGCCATGTGTCTTTTGTCGCAGTAATTCGAGTAACCCTTGAATTCCCAGGGTAATCGCCTCGGCCTCGGGTCGATTTTCCAGCTGCCTTCTGCTGCCACACACTCCTGCCATTTCAGAAACTTTTCTTTCAGACCTGCCCGGCTGACCTTGCTACCTGGAATCTTCGTCCGGAACCCCTCCCCAGACCTGTCGAGGAGGTTCGGGTCAAAACTCTCCGAAGCAAACCCATCGTGGAGAACGCTTTCCAGGACCGTTCTCAACCGCTCAATACCGCAAGCCAGGGAACCTCTAGGCAAGTACACTGACGACCCACCACCTTTATCCCCATCCTCCTCCTCTGTATCCTCCCAAAAAGCAACCCCAGAAGCACCACCGGCACCAGCACCGGCATCACCATCGCCGCCACCTCCACCACTCCCGACCTCTCCCCATCTGTCTCCACCGCTCCCTGCCCCCGCATCTGCTGTCTCCACCACTGGTTCCTCTGGGCATTCCACCAGGTAGTGCTTCACACCTGCTGCCAACGCTAGGTTTCTGTACAGCTGCCTTCCCCCGTCCCGATACACTGACTCTGCACCGCTGCTGCTGCTGCTGCTGCTGCTGCTGCTGCTGCTGCTGGTGCGAATTTCGATGACAGAGGAGTGGGAAGGCATGAAGAGGGTGTTTACAAGGGCATTATCGCAGGCGACGAACAGCAGAGCCCGTTGGAACAGCGCTCTGGCTGGGTGCCACGGGGAACAGGGTGGGAGAGGCGGGGGGGGGAAGAGGGCATGAAGAGGGCATGAAGAGGGTATTTACGAGGGCGTTATCGCGCGCAACGAAAACCAGAGCTCGTCGAAACAGCGCCCTGGGTGGGTGGGAGCAGGGGAGGGGCAGCGCGGGGAGCTTGGAACGCAATTCAGATTCGAAACAGTCAGCCGACAAAATTATCGGCTATTCAGCTCAAAAGCAATGATGACAGCACGCCACTCACTTACCTTCTTGGAGCGGCATGTTTCGTCTGTACACGGCGACTCTATCCTCGGTATAGAGCTGCTTCAGTATCCATTTCACCGCACGTAGCGCTGCAGCCAGCGCAGCAGCTTGCACTGTGGGCAGACGGGATGGGGGAGCCGCCACCACCACCACCCAATCATGCTTCAAACGCCCATCTATAGACCCCATAAATCCCATAGGGACCACAGGCAGCTCCCCTGCTGCATCGTGTGCTCCTTGTTCTGCCAGACCCCCAGGTGCAGGGGGGCGGTAGGAGCCGTCTTGAGAGAAGAGCGGCAGGCCGGAGGGGGGGAAGAGGTGGCGGGCGCGGAAGGCGTGCAGGAGAGACGGGCTGGGGTGGCCGCATGGGGGAAATAGCGGCTGGTAGAGAAGGCGGTCAAAAGATGAGAGAGGGAAAAATGGGGGAAACGGGGAACGGGGAAGGAGGCTCAAAGTCTTGAAAAACCCCACGCCAGATACACAAGCATGCGTGCATACCATGTACAGCATGCGAGCAAAGAGCAGCGAGGAGTGCGACATGGCATGGATGGCAGGAGTGCGACATGACATGGATGGCAGGAATGCGACATGGCATGGATGGCAGGAGTGCGACATGGCATGGATGGCAGGAATGCGACATGGCATGGATGGCAGGAGTGCGACATCTCCTGGGTTCACCCCTCCTGGGTTCACCCCTCCTGGGTGCACCCCTCCTGGGTTCACCCCTCCTGGGTTCACCCCTCCTGGGTTCACCCCTCCTGGGTTCACCCCTCCTGGGTGCACCCCTCCTGGGTTCACCCCTCAGGGATCAGTGAGGTGTGCGCCATGGCATGGATGACATTCGCTGTTTGTGTATTTGCGTGCAGTGCATGCAGTGCGTGGGCGCACTTACCATGTAGAGGGTGCGAGCAAAGAGCAGAGACGAGTGCGCCATGGCATGGATGGCACTCGCTGAGGGCCTCAACCCCACCGCGGCCTGCAGTGTGTGTATGTGGGCGCGCGTGAATGCGCTTGCACATGTGTGTGCTTGCAGTGCGTGCAGTGCAGTGCGTGGCCGCACTTACCATGTAGAGTGTGCGAGCGAAGAGCAGTGAGGAGTGCGACATGGCATGCACGGCACTCGCTGTGGGCCTCAACCCTACCACGGCCTGCCAGATGCCGCGCACCAACTGCCACGTAGGGAGAGGGAGGAAACGGGTGGGAGGGGGAGAGAAGACGCAAGGATGCATTAAAGCGTGTCTGTCTGAGCAGCTTTGGAACACCCAACCTAGCTTATGTGTCTCGCTCTCACAACTTACCTTTCTGTTCTGCACTGCAACTGGTATGCGCCTCAGCAGCAGCATGGCAGGCGCCAGTGACAGGAAGAGAGGAAGCTTCTCCGCCATTTCCGAGAAGACCACATCGGACGGCGAGCGGGCGGCGGAAAGAAGGTTGAGGAGGGAAGGGAAGGCGGCAAACTGGGTGCCTGAGGGGTAGTCGAACTGAGGGAAAAAGGGGGTTGGGGCGAGTTGGGGGTTGGGGGAGTGGGGTGAGGAAAGAAGGGGTGAACAAGCAGAGAGGGGGTTGAGGAGGAGAGAGGGGGTAGAAGAGTGGGAGAGGAAAGTGGGGGGAGTATGGGATAGAGGGCAGAAGGCGTGGACGCAGAATGGAGAGGGATGAGGAAGGGGGAATGGCGGTGTCAAATAGGCGAGTCACTCACATCAGCCAATCGGTCGCCGCATCTCCCAGCGTCGAATAGATGCGTCTGGTTGAACACCTGACCCCTCCAATTCACAAACAGATGGAGAATGGAGGAAAAGTTGAGTCACTCACATCAGCCAGTTGGTCGCTGCATCTCCCGGCGTCAAACAGATGCGTCTGGTTGAACACCTGACCCCTCCAGTTCACGAACACGTTCTGCAGCCGGAAAAGCTGCCCGGACCATTCCTTCAGGTTGCCCGGATCCGGTATTTCCACCTGTAATGACTCCGGCCACTCCGCCTGCTCCTCCAAAAATCTTTTCATTTTCAAGACCGCTTCTGCACACTGTGCTGGGACGACCCTGGTCATCTCAAGCTCATCTGGGATCTCCGGGCAGAATGCAGGGAACTTTTTCTGCTGCCCGGAGGGGGTCTGATCAAATAGGTCAACGAATTCTCTGTTCCAGCATGCCTCAATCTGCCCCAGGGCACCTGAGCAGGGTGAAAAATCTGGGCAGCTCCCTCCTTTACACCCCCCTCCTCTCCCCCGCACATCCCCTCCTCCTGCATAGAAACCCAAGGAAACAACCGAGAGATCTGCACCATTGATTCGCGCGGTCGTGGATTCATCAGCCGCCACGGGCCTCTGTGGGCCGTCGGATTCCCCAGATGCGCCTTCCCAGAGTACCACCTCCGATCCTGATGCTCCCTGAGCGCGACCAGCTCGACCAATCAGCTTCCTCCTGCTGACGCTGCTATCATCGCCTGTCCAATCGCTGCTGCTGCTGGACCCGATTCTAGTGTCAGCTCTGGCGCTGGCTGGCGAGGAAGCAACGGGCCGCGAATGGACTGACAGGTGGAGAAAGACGAGGAAGAGGAGGATGGATTTGTATGGAAAGAGCTGCGTGTAGCCGAACCGGAGTGTCATTTCAGAGCCTAGGGAGCATCAGAAGTCGGTCATTGAGGCGCGGAGCGACACGGATAGCGAGGGGTAAGAACCTGCTGCACAAGACTCCTCCAATCAGACTCATTCAAGAAGTGAGAGTAGGACTAACTTAGGCCAGACCGACCAGACTTCCTTCAGACCGAGGGACGCACGACGCGCAACGTGCTCACAAATTTTGAGTCACATATCCCAAGAATCGGCTTTCTCAATGTATTGCCAAACGGAGTAGTATTGACTAGTATCGACAGTTCAAACTGTGCACTTTTGTGCAAGAACGGATGGTAAGCCACAACTGGTGAAGTGGGAGTGGAAAACCGCGCTGAGAGATTCGACCTAGCGGAGCAACTGACGGCGGTAGCACAAACCCGCCGAAATGCTGTTACTGGACGACCCAATGCCAGCTTCAGGCAGAACAATGCAGGTAGGAATGCGAGAAAAACACGAATTGACAAGCGAAAGAGCGAGCGGACGGCAAGCGGCTGGAGTGGCAGGCAGGTGATGCTGTTTTTGACTGATTCAATCATAACGCTTTCAATATCTGATCTGTGTGCTTCCATCCAGACCGGATTGAATAGAATTTCCGATAGCGAGGATGTGTGCTCATGTTGTTGCAATACTTGTTCACTTGTTTTATTGCACACGTAACACATAGTGTAATGATTGGTTATTGAGCTTAAATTAGCACAAAACACCCAAGCTGCGTTTCCTCAATCGCTGAGCTCGAGGATTTTCGTCGATGCTGTGGGTGCTGGGCGTGAGCGAGGGTATACCACCAGGCACAAGTATCGCCAAGCTTTTCCCCGCTTGCATGCTCCCACCCACGCCTTGGGCGAATACGCGCGCAAGCCAGCGAACCAATCAGCTGCTTCTAAAACTTTCGGCATATTCGTCAGCCCCCACCACATGAGCCATGCATCCGAGAATTACTGTGCATTTCGCCGTTTCGCCAGCTCAAGCACCGTTTGGGCAAATGCGGCGTTCACTTTGTGCTGACTCCACCCCCAGAACCAGGAACTGATCGACAGGATATTCAGCCACCTCGGGTTCTAATAACGAGACAAGCCTCGCTTTCCGATTCCTATGCCCAACTGTGTTTCCCCTCGATACAAGCTGCCCAGCGCTGAAACTTCTGCGCCAAACTCCCATCTCCCGCCAAAGTGTGTCCCCCCAATCTCCCCCCTACTTCCCCCAACCTGCCTGTCCTTTCATTCTGCGAACCTCGGGATTTGCTGGCTCCTTCAAATACCCCAGCCTGTTCATTGATCGTACTTGCAGATCTTTTTCTGATCCCTTGATCCTAGTTCCTTTTGTCAATCACCATTCCTTTTCTTCATGGTCGCTGGATTTCACACGCGACCTAAGGCGTTGTCAGCTCGGCATCGCGCCGCCTGTCGGTGGTTAGTGGGGAATTCTCGAGTAGATTGATGTCCCAGCAACCGGGTAGGGCCGATAGATCGGATCAGGCGAACCGGAAAGGGAGAGGAGGCGGGACGAGCGGTCCTCGCCAGCAGGGGGTACCGCAGGGAGGAAAGGGGCCCAGCCCCGTAGTTAGCGGTCAGAGCTCAGCTGCCGGCTCATCTGCCGGCTCGGCTGCCGGTCCGGGAGCCGGACGCGGTCAACCGCAAGGAGTGGGACGAGGGTATGTGATCCGATGTTTCTAAGCGCACTGGACTTACGGTTACGGTTAGCGTGTCATACATAGTTGCACATTGTAGTTAGTAGCATGTGGTAATAAGCAGCTTATACTAGAGAATCGCTTACTGCGGATTAATAGCAGATCGTAGGTATTAGCATATCATTAGTCGCAGCTCGTAGGTTATAGCATATCGTGAGTAGTAGCAGCTTGAGTAATAAACATCTTAAGAGTGGATGACTGTAGATATTAGCTTACTTGCAGCCGTTCGTATGTGGAGCATACATGGAGATGATCTAAGTTTCCCCTTCCGTAAATCTTTCGTTTCAGTTTTCCGCAACAATTAGTTTTGTGATCTGCTCAAGCCAGCTGGTCCGTCTGATCCGTTAGGTTACTTAATCAGCAGTTATAGAGACATCGATGCCGCGGAATCGGACATTCGGGCGTGATCTGGCATTCAGCCCTGAGATAGCGCTGTTCCATAGTTTCGCGGATTGACCCCTTTTGACGCGTGTTTGCGAGATTTTCCGCAGCCAACAGATGGACCGTTTGTTCGTTCCAGTCTCGTTCAAGGCTGCATGCTTTCGGAACCTAGGTCGCCCTGCGACACTCTCGCTTGGCTTTTTCCGTCCATACTTGATCCCAGATATATTTATATTTTTTCACAGATTCCCCTCACCGTTATGCGGATCTTATATCTCTTTTCAAATTCCGCCTCCCCCCACTCCAGGTTCCGCCGGACGCCAAATGGCCCCGCGGAAGGCGCATCTAGCGCCGGTGGTGCCGGCAGAGGCGGCATCGGTCAGGGAAGCGGGCAGGGGATGCCAGGAGCGGGAATAGGCGGAGCTGCCGGCGGATCCGGCGGAGGTCCGGGCGGGTATCGTGGAGCAACAGGTGGGCATATTGTGTGGGAGAGGGAGAAAAGATACAGTAGCTGCATGTACTGTAACAAACGTTAGATGCTTACAGATTGTCGTGCCGGAGTTGGTTGGTCAAGACAGAAGAAAGCCACTCTCTGAAACATAAGTACATACATACGCTGGTTTCCAGAAAAAAAGGAATTTAACTCAGACAGTCGTTATATTCAGCTAGAAGTTTGACTGGTATTCGGTAGTGTTTTCTACTAGTCGTGCGCCTCACCTTGGAGATTCAGCCTTGGTATGCCAAGTTGCCACGATTTCTCATGGGGCGTGATTCATTCGCTAGCTGGGGCGAGGATTATTTCGAGGCAGAATCGGCATGTTTAGCCTGTGTTTTCATGTTCGCCTTTTGTATTGATACCCATTCAACGGACTTTCCTGTTCGATTGCTTTCCTTCGCTGGTGCAGGTCCTCAGTCACAGCAAAGATATGGATCAACAGCAGTCGCGGGAAACGGTCCCACACCAGCAGCAGCGCCTGCGCCTTCCGCGTGGGGTGCGGGCCTTGCGCGCACAAGTGCGCCTACCCCCGCCGCTTCCGGCACCCAGCAGCAGCGGCAGCAGCAGCAACCAGCGGTGCAGCTGTCATCCGGCCCGGGGATTCCAGGTTTTGAGTCTGCGCCTCCCCCTGCGGATTCCGCCTTCCCCGGCCTTTCCCGCTCCACGTCCGCGGGCGGAGCAGCAGCTCGGCCGGGGGCTCCGGGCGTAGCTGGGCCGGGCGCAGGCGCCCCTGCGCCAGTAGTAGGGTCTGGGGGAGCGCCTGGCGCAGGGCCTGCGGGTGTGCCTGCGCCGAGAATATCGTTTGCAGCTGCAGCAGCTTCTGGGGGGATGTCGTACGCGCAAAGAGCGGCGCAGGCGCTGAATCGCGCGGCTGCACCGCCCGCCCAAGCGCAACAGGCGCAGGTACAGGCGCAGCAAGCGCGGGTGGGCGGAAGCGGGGCGCAGCAAGCGACAGGTCAAGCGGGGGAAGCCGCGTCACAGGGGAAGGCGGACGCTGCTAAGCCGCCGCAGGGCACGGAAACAGCAGCACAGGCGGGTAGCGCATCTCAAGCAGCTGTGCAGAAGCAGCAGGATCAAACACGCACCCAGCAACAACAGCAGCAGCCGTGGCAGGGTCAGAAGCCTCAAGTCCCAGCAGCAGCAGTTGCTGCAGGCACGGGCAGCAGAACTGCAGTTTCCACACCAACCGCAGCAGCAACTGTAATCCCTACAGCCACAGCAACCGCTACCAAGCCTGTTGCTCCGTCCGCCACAACCGCTACTGTTACTGCTGCAACGGTTGCGGCGGCTTCTGCAGCAGCAGCAGCTGTTTCTGCTGCGTCAGGCGCTTCTGCCCCAGCCCAGTCGTTCGCAGCGGCAGCTGCTGCTGGGGCCGCGGCTGCATCTTCCAAAGTGCCTGCCGCAGCGGCCACCAATCCAGGCCAAACGCCTGTTCCCCAGACCTCCAGCGCAGGCTCGGCAGCAGCACCGGCGGGATCCCTCACAGGGTTCTTGTCAGCTGCGCGCGCAGGGCTAGGGGAGGGCGCAGGCACAGGCGCAGGGGCATCTGGTGGAGCGGGGGCGGACGGGGGTCAGGGAGCAGCGGGCGGGGCGAAGGGTAGCGCGAAGGGGGGGGCGAAACCACCGGTGAAGGCTCTTGGTCCTGCTGCGGCTGTAGCGGGGCCTCCTGCTCTTCCCCCTGGCGTATCGCCTGTAGCTCTGCAGTTCGGCACGTTCAACCCTAACTTCATGGGCGCCAGCGGCCCCGTTATTGTATGCCCCGGTTCCCCTTTCTCTCACCTTCGCCCTGCCCGGGCATTGTATGCCCGGGTTCCCCTTTCTCCCCTCCTCGCTCCTGACCCGTTTGACGTTTTCCTCTTTCGTCCTCTGTCTCTCACTACTTGAGCTGCTTGTCTTCGCGCCTCCGCTGCGATTGCTAAAACTGTCAATGATGCTCAAGGAGCGTTATTCCTCTTGCCTCCTTGCCTTCTCCGTGTATTCACCATCTTTGCTGTTCCATTTTCCCGCCTGCTGCTTCCCTGGCTACTACTGCAGGTTCCCCCTCGCACCACCTCTGCTCCGCCCAATCTGGACGAGCAACAGAAGGAGCAGGTACACCATCAAACCCACTGTGGTTCTCTCTCTGCCCTTGCTCGCAGCCTGACCTTCCCTTCACCACTGTGTTTTTTTTTTGCGTCACTCAAGCTTTTTCTTCTCTCTTCTCGCATCAAGTTCCTCTTTCTTCCACAGCTTTCTTCGTCACCCGTCGCCCCCACTCTTGTCCCTCGCATTGGTTGTTGTCGTGTTTTTTTTCCCATGTACTCGTTCTTCCTGCCCCTCTGACCCAACAATTATTATCTCCCTGTCTGTCCCATGTCTTTTTCCTGCCCATTAGGCCTGGCACGAGGCCAGCAGTAAGCAGCCAAGTCCGAACCTTCACACACACCCTGATTTTCCCTGCCTACCTGCCTTTCTGCCGCCCCGTGTCTTTCCCGTGTCTTTCTCCTGCTCATTAGGCCCGGCACGAGGCCATGCTTCGCCAGCAGCAAGCAGCCAAGTCCGGAGAAGCAGGGGCAGCTAAAGCCCCTATCGGAGGAAGCATCCCAGAAGAATCTCAACAGGTGCTGCCAGCTCCCGATGCTCCCGCCCCCACTAGTGGCAGCGGCATTACTGCTCCAGTCGCTGCAGGGGCGGGAGGAGCCTCAGGGATAATAGCAGGGGCGCCAGCAGGGGCAGCAGCCGCAGCAGCAGGAGCAGCAGGAGGAGCAGGAACAACAGTTGGGCAGAACGGTGGGGGGGTAGCAGGGGGAGGAGGGGGGGCGGGGAGGGGGATGGGAAGAGGGGGGCAGCAGATGCATGGAGGGGGGAGAGGGGGCGCGGGGATTTTGTCGTCCGCTGGGGTCAGCGCATGGGGCGCAGGCGCTGCAGGTTCGGGCGCGCCTGGCGCAGGTGCTGCGGGTGCAGCTGGGGTAGGTGCATCTGGCGCAGGTGCAGGTGTGGCATTGGGAAGTGAGGTTGGAGTAGCAGCGGCACGGCCGAACCAACAGCAGCAGCAGCAGCAGCAGCAGCAGCAGCAGCAGCAGCAGCAGCAGCAGCAGCAGCAGCAGCAGCAGCAGCAGCAGCAGCAGCAGCAGCAGCAGCAGCAGCAGCAGCAGCAGCAGCAGCAGCAGCAGCAGCAGCAGCAGCAGCAGCAGCAGCAGCAACAGCAGCAGCAGCAGCAGAGACAACAGCAACAGCAAAGACAGCAGCAGCAACAGCAGCAGCAGCAGCATCAGCAGCAGCACCTGCAGCAGCAGAGATTGCATCAACACCAGCTTCAGCAGCAGCAACAGCAGCAGCAGCCTCGCGGTCAGGGCTTTCAACAACCTCCTTTTCAGCACCAACACATTCCGCTACACCAGCAGCACCCGCACGCACCAGGGCAAGTCCCCATCCCTCTGCAACAGCAACAACAACAGCAACAGCAACAACAACAGCAGCAGCAGCAGCAGCAGCCGCACAGACCCCAACACCCGGGGCAGCCATCTCAGCAACCCCCACAGCCCTCCCCTCCTCCGCCGCTCGTTCAACCGCCCTTGCAGCCTCTTCCCGCCCCTCACATACGCCCTCCCCTGATGATGCCTGGCGGCCAACCTCAGCTACAACCGGGCCAGCTACAACCGGGTCAGCTGCAGACTCAGCTGCAGGGTCCGCTACAGCAGGGCCCGCTACAGCCAGGCTCGCTACAGGCTCAGATACAGAACCAGCTACAGCAGCTGCCGCCCCACTTGCATGCTGCCATGGCGCTACAGCAACACGGGCACGGCCTTCCGCCGCACATGCAGCATCCCGGGTTACACCAGCCAGGATTGTCTCCTCAACCGGGGATGGGGATGGGTCAGCAGCAGCAGCAGCAGCAGCAGCAGCAGCAACAACAACAGCAGCAACAGCAGCAACAACAGCAACAGCAGCAGCAACAACAACAGCAGCAGCAGCAGTTGCAGCAGCAGCAAGGTCAGGGACCTCACCCTTCCCCTCCCCCTCCCCAGCAACAACTCCAACAGCAGCAGCAGCAGATGCAACAGCAGCAGCCACCGCATATGCTGCAGCACCAGGCGCAGCAACACATCATGGTGGCTTACCAGCAGCACGGCCCGTCTGGCATGACCATTCAGTACGGCACTGTTCCAGCAGGACCCCAGTATCCAGGCATGCAAAACCCTAAGCCCTCTGCGCTGCTACAGCCGCGGGCAAGCCGGGCACTTAAAATTATGGATCCGACCACTCAGAAAGAGGTGAAGGTGGAAAAGGTGCCCGCGACTAAAGCCAAGCCCGGGGCAGGAGCAGCAGGGGCAGGAGCAGCAGGAACAGGAACGGGAGCAGCAGGAGGAGCAGGAGGAGGGGCGAGGGGAGGGACGGGCGCAAGGGCAGGGGCAGCAGGAGGAGCAGGGGAGGGCGCAGGTGCGGGGGCAGGGGGAGCAGCAGGAGGGGCAGCAGGGGGAGCAACAGTGGGGGCAGCGGGGAGAGGTCCATCAAGCGCCACTACCTCCCCTGCTCCTCACGGGCTTACCTCAACCCCTGCAGGCCTGACCTTCGAAATTCCAGCCCAACCATCCACTCCAGGTTCTGCCCCCACCACTCCTCACGGCGGACTAGTCTCCCCAGCCGGTGCTGGGGCGGCCGCAGCAGGGGTGGCCGGCCGGGGGATGCCTATTGGGGTGGCGGCGGCAGCTGCAGGCGCGCGCCCCCCCATGGGGTTCGCGCAGCCCGGGCACATGCTTCCATCCATGTACTATCCGGGGATGCCTGGTGTGGGGGGAGTGCCAGGGGTGCCGGGGGTGGCAGGTGTTCCCCCCGGTGCCTTCCCCCAGGCGCGATTCTTTCCCCCACAGCAGCCTGGGCCTATGCCAGCAGGCGGGGGGATGGTCGGGGGGCCGGGAGGGGGGATGGGCGGACCAGGGGCAGGCGGGCAGGGTAGGTTTACCCCCCCGTATCCGCAGCAGGCGGGGCATGGCGGGGGTGTGAGGCCGCATATGGGACACGTTTTGCCACACCAGCAGATGCCAGGGGGCGGGCCGGCTGGTATGGTGCACTATGCCACTGGTGCCGTTCCTGGCGCCGTGCCCGGTGGTTCAGGTTCGGGAGCGGGTGGTCCGGGCGCTGGCGGGGCTGGTTCGGGGGCAGGAGAGGAAATGCCCATGCCTGGGATGGATGGTATGGGGAACATGCCTGTGTCGTCGCCGGTAGGTCCAGGGCCAGGTATGGTGATCCCAAACCTGCCGATGATGGCTCCTGTAGGTTCAGGAGGGCCGGGTGTGGGGGGGTATATGATGGGCGCAGGGACAGGGTTTGTGATTCCAGGGCATGGGCGGGGAGTTGGGGGAGGAGGGGGAATGGGGGGAGGGGGAAGGGCAGGGGGGATGCACGGGAGGGGGGCAGGGGGACCAGGTGGGGCAGGGGGCACAGGTCCTGGGGCGGGTAGGGGAAGCGGGGTAAGTGCACAGGTCATGTCTTCGAATCGAATCGTAGTGTCGACAACAGGAGGGGTTACCAATTTGCCATCGCCAGGTTCGGGAGCGCGAGACAGGCCTGGGGCAGGTCCGGATGGGCTGAAGAGGTCCGGGAGCGGTAAGACAACTTGGCCAGTGGTTAGGAGCCCCTCTGGTGGTGCTTCGGGGCAGCAGGGGAAGGAGAAGGGAGAGAAGGAAGGGGAGGAGGGTGTGGGTGGGGCTGTGGTGGAAAAGAAAGAGGAGGGTGAGAAGGGCGAGGAGAATCGAGCGAAGGGGAGTGATGCGGCTGTGGCAAATGGAGAACAGAATGTAGCAGGGAAGAGTGAAGAGGTTCAGGCGAAGAGCAAAGAGGAGGTGGCAGCGAAGGTTACAGGCGAGCCAGTTGCAGCAGAGGGGGGTGTGGGGAAAGAGGCTGCAGGGAAGGAGGGTGAAGTGAAGGTGGTAGAAGGGAGGGATGTGAAGGACGGTGGTGATGCAAAGGCGAAGGTTTCAAGCGAGGAGGAAGAGAAAAAGGCAGGCGGGGAGGCGACTGGTGCTGAGGCACCTGCTGCTGCTCCTGCTGCTGCTTCAGCTGCAGCGGTTGCTCCTGTGGTGGCGAAACCAGTGGAGGAGAGTAAGGAAGGAGAGGGGTTAAGTGGGGAGGCGGGCGCCGCAAAGGAGAAAGGAGAGGAGAAGAAGGGTGGGAAGAAGAAAGACAAGAAGGAGAAGAAGAAGAAAGGAATTGAGAAGGGAGAGGAGAAGGATGCTGGCAAGAAAGAGGCGGGAGAAGCAGTGCCGGAGCCTGAGGGGGAGAAGGCTAAAGGAGAGGAGAAGGAGGTTCAATTGCCCTCCACATCTCAAGTTACGACAGTTGCTGCTGTTGTTGCAACAGCTGCCGCAGCTGTTGCCGCTACAGCCGTGGCTGCTGCAGGTACAGCTGCTGCTACTGCTGAGGGCAAGAACGAGGCTGCCGAAAACGCGGGTGCTGAAGGGAGTGCTGCTGTTACGACCGAAACCCTTCAGGCAGCTGAGGGGAAAGAGGGGGCTAAGGAGTCGGAGGCGACTGGTGAAATAGTTAAGGAGGGGGATAAGAAGGAGGGGGAAGCAGAAGTGGATGAGAAGGGTAAGGAGGAGGAGGGGGAGAAAGTGGAGGGGAAGACGAAAGAGAAGAAGGTGGAGGAAAGTGCTGAGGTTGTTCTTGCTAAAGCAGAAGAGAGCAAGGAGGCGAAAGAGGAGAAGGAGAAGGAGGAGGAGAAGGAGGGTAAGGTTGAAGAGTCTGATGTTAAGGGTGGGATTGAGAAGGGAGGGGAAAAGGCCAAGTCAGCTGCTGCTGCTGCTGCAGCGGCGGCAGCAGCAGCTGCCACTGCTGCTGCAGGCACAGCCGTGGCTGCTGCTACAGCCGCTGCTGCCACAGCTGTTGTTGCTCCTGCCAAGAAGAAAAAGCTGAAGCAAGTTTTGGCAGAGAAAGAAGCTGCTGAGTCTGAAATGCTGAGTCTGAAGCAAGCTCCTGACCTCTATAACGCGTACACGACTAATGCTGCCAAGGGCAAGGAGGCAGAAGGGAAGAAGGCAGAGGGGAAGGTGCAAGAGCAACCAGGGTCTGTGGCTGGTGAGGTGACTGTGGAAGAAAAGGCGGGCGAGGCTGCTAAGGTAGCAGAGCAAGAGGAGGAAAAGAGAGAAGAGGAAGTGGATGATTGGGAGGAAGCAGTGGATACAGATGCTGCTGGGAAGGGCCGTGCTGGGAAGGCGGGAGGAGGAGAGACAGGGGCTGCGGGTGCCACCCCTGCTGCTGCCGCTGCCGCTGCAGCAGCAGCTGCTGCAGTAGCTGCTGCCACTGCAGCAATCGGAGCAGCAGGTAAAGGCCCAGGAGCAACAGCAGCAGCAGGCGCAGCAGCAGGTGCAGCAGTAGGCACACCAGCAGGCACAGCGGTGGCAGCTGCGGCACAGAAAGGAGCGAAGGGCGCAGAGGCTGCTGCAACCAACGCGGATGGCTCGTTCAAGTATTCTCGAGACTTCCTCCTCACACTTAGAGACTCTCACAGGGACCTCCCAGGCGACATGGACTTCCGCTCCTTCCTACGCGAGTGTAACGCCGTGCTGAAACCGCCTGCTGCACAAAGAGTACAGCAGATGGCGGCTCAGGGGTTCAATCGCCCTATGGACGCCCTTTCGGGTGCACCTGGGGGAGGTTTGAACCGGCCAGGTATGGACGAGGACCGCTGGGCGAGAGGGCCAGGAATGGGCCCGAGAGGTCCGGGCGGAGGTATGGACGGAGGGGTGCTGGGCCCGCCTGGAGGTCCGGGGTTCAGAGGTCCGGGAGGCGGGCCGCCTATGGGTATGGGAGGCCCGGGGATGCGGGGAGGAATGGGGGGACCAGGGGGGCCGTTGCTGGGGAGGGGGGATAGGGGGGTGTTGCCTCATGGTGCGCCTGGGATGGGGGGACCTGGGGGGATGCCTATGGGTGGTCCGAGGGGAGGCGTGGATGCAGATAGATGGCAGAGAAACCCGATGCAGAACCGACCTGCTGCACCTGCGGGACCCCCGCTGCCTGCGATTCACAAGACGGAGAATCGGTACAAGGCAGGGATGGTGTCGGATGAAGAGGAAAAGAAGCAGCGGCAGATCAAGGGGATTCTGAACAAGCTGACGCCTCAGAATTTCGATAAGTTGTTCAATCAGGTGAAGGAAGTGCAGATTGACTCTCCTGAGACGCTCACAGGGGTGATTGGGCAGATTTTCGACAAGGCGTTGTTAGAGCCCACGTTTTGTGAGCTGTATGCGAAGTTCTGCCAGGCGTTGTCTGTCGAGTTGCCTCAGTTTGGGGAGGGGAATGACCGGGTGACGTTTAAGCGCACGCTTTTAAATAAGTGCCAGGAGGAGTTTGAGCGAGGGGATCAGGAGCAGCTGGATGCTGAGAAGGAGGAGGAGGAAGTGGAGGTGGAAGAGGAGGAGGAAGGGGAGGGGAAGAAAGGGGAAGGGGAGGGGAAAGATGGGGCGGACGGGAAGGCGGAAGAGAAGAAGGAAGGGGGGGAGGAAGGGAAGAAGGAAGTGGAGGAGGGTGGGAAGGACGAGAAGAAGGAAGGGGCCAAGGGAGCGAAGGTTATGGTAAAGAAGATGGTGAAGTTGACGGAGGCGGAGAGGCAGAGCAGAAGGCAGAAGGCTCGGAGGCGCATGCTGGGGAATATCCGCTTTATAGGAGAGCTCTATAAGATGAGCATGCTCACGGAGCGCATCATGCACGGATGCATCCAGAAGCTTCTAGGAAACACTGAGGTGGGTCCTTTGATACTGTTGATACTGATTCCAGTGTGGGTTAGTTCGTCACAGCACAACTCCTTTCCACCACTAATTATTCTGTGTTAGAGTGTCGTGTCGGGCATTGTGTGCTAGTCGGGCATTGTGTGCTAGTCGGGCATTGTGTGCTTTTCTTTCCCATTGTGTGCTTTTCTTTCCCATTGTGTGCTTTTCTTTCCCATTGTGTGCTTTTCTTTCCCATTGTGTGCTTTTCTTTCCCAGGATCCGGACGAGGAGGACATGGAAGCGCTCTGCAAGCTACTAGCCACCATCGGGCACATCATGGACCCCTGCACGCTCCCGCCTGCTCCCCACTGCTGCCCCTGCTCTTCACCCCTTCAGGACCTTAGAGAAGGACATGGAAACTCTCTGCAAGCTACTAGCCACCATCGGGCACATCATGGACCCCTGCTCCCCTGCACGCTCCCCCCCGCTCTTCACCCCTTCAGGATCCGGACGAGGAGGACATGGAAACCCTCCGCAAGCTTCTGGCCACCATCGGGCAAATCATCGACCACGAGAAAGCTCAGAGCCACATGGAGGCATACATGGCCCACATAGCCCACTTCTCCACCTACCAGAAGCTCCCCTGCATGCTCCCCCCTGCTGCCCCCGCCCTTCGCCCTCCCAGGACCCGGACGAGGAGGACATGGAGGCCTTGTGCAAGCTGCTCGCGACCATCGGGCAAATCATCGACCACGAGAAGGCACAGAGCCACATGGAAGCATACATGGCGCGCATAGCCCACTTCTCCACCTACCAGAAACTCTCCTCCCGCATCCGCTTCGGCCTGCAAGACATTCTCGAGCTCCGGGAGAACAAGTGGCAGGCCAGGCGGAAGGTCGAGGGGCCCAAGAAGATCGACCAGGTGCATAGGGACGCGCGGGACGAGCGGTCCAATGCTGTCGCGACAGCTGGCAGGCAGATATTGGAGCGCGGGGGCGGCGGGAGCAGGGGCCCGGGTGGTGGTATGGGGAGCGGGCGGCGGCCGGAGTATGGCATGGAGCCGCCCGGGCGGCCGGGTTTGGCTGGGTCTGGGCCGATGAGGGGCGGCCCGGGGCTGATTGGGGGGCAAGGGGGGCCGGGGGGAGGGATGTATGGGCGGGGGCCGGGGTATGGGCACCCTGGGGGGATGGGGGGAAGAGGGGGAGGCCCTGGCGGGTATGAGGGGAGAGGGGGAATGGAGGATATGGGTCGCCCCATGCCCCTCCCCCAGAGGAACATGGAGGAGGGGGAATTGAAGCTGGGGCCGCATGGGGGGCTGGGGAGACCTGGGGGAGGGGGCCCAGGGGGAGGCATGGGCGGGGGGATGAGGGGGGGACCTGGGGGACCTATGGGGGGACCCATGGGGGGGCTTATGGGGGGCCCAGGGCGGGGGGGACCTGAAGGTCCCCCTGGCGCCATGCCTCCGGAGATGCGCAGGTTCGGGCCGAGCCAGAGCGAGAGGTTCGGGCCGAGGGTGGGGGAGATGGGGGGCCCGAGGGGCGGGGGGGATAGAGACGCGCCGATGAGGGCTGGCCCTGGCGGGTATGGGGAGAGAGGGGGGGAGAGAGAAGGGGGGCGGGGGCTAGTAGGCCCTGGGTCTAGGAGTATGATGATGGGGAGGGGACCTGGGCCTGAGGCGAGGGGGTATGGTGGGCGGGGGATGGGGATGGAGCGGGAGAGGGAGAGGGAGGTGGATGCATGGAGAAGAGGCACGAGAATTGATGAGGAGCCGCAAGCAGGTGGAGGCAGGGAGGCAGGGAGGGATGGGTGGAGGGAAGCGGGGAGAGGAGATGGAGGGAGAGGGGACGTGGGGAGAGGGGGAGGGCCGGGAGTGGGGCCAGGGACAAGAGAGGGAGCAGGAGGAGCAGGAGGGGCAGCAGGAGCAAGAGGAGCAGGGGCAGCAGCAGAGACGGGAGGAGGAGCGGGAGCAGCAGGGGGGGCGGGAGGGGGAGCAGTAGGGGCGAAGGCGGGGGCAGGGATGGATGAGGAGGGTGCTGTGGCGAAGGCGAACAGTGCTGTGGAAGAATTCCTCAGGTGAGAAATGTTTTTCCAGGCAGTATTGAGAATTTTATCACATAATGGCAGACTCAAAGTCATCTTGGATGAGGAGGGTGCTGTGGCGAAGTCGAACAGTGCAGTGGAAGAATTCCTCAGGTGAGAAGTCACTTCTCCAATCAGGAAAGGGAAATTGGCCACGTAATGGCAGACTTAGAAGTCACCTTGGGTGGGGAGAAGGCCGTTGTGCATTGAGCAGCTGCAGGCGCCGCAGCATTAACAGCCCCTTTTCCTCGTCACGCTTTCTGATTAGGGCCCCTCGTTTCCTCCTCCTCCGTTTTTCGTTCCTCTCACAGTGCATGTGATTTCAAGGAGGTGATTGTGTGCACCTTGGGTGGGGAGAAGGCCGTTGGTGCATCGAGCAGCTGCAAGCGCCGCAGCAACAACGGCTCCCTCACACCTTCTAATCACTGCCTTTTCTCCCTCTTCTCCTTTCCTCTCCCCTCCTTTTTATCTGTTTTCCCACAGTGCCCGTGACTTCAAGGAAGTATGCCTGTGCATTGAGGAGCTACAGACGCCGCAGCATGAGCAACACTATCAGAGTGTTCAATCGCTGCTGTTTCTGCCTTTCTTTCCCCCTTGTCATTTTCTCCCCCCCTTCACAGTGCCCGCGACTTCAAGGAAGTCTGCCTGTGCATTGAGGAGCTGCAATCCCCGCAGCATCACGGGGCGGTAGTGGCGGGGTGTGTGGCGGCAGGGCCCTCGCACCTTCTAATCACTGCCCTCGTCTCTCACCTCTTCCTTCCCGTCCCCTCTCAGTGCCCGTGACTTCAAGGAAGTCTGCCTGTGCATTGAGGAACTACAGTCGCCGCAGCATCACGGGGCGATAGTGGCGGGGTGGGTGGCGGCAGGGCTAGACAAGAAGGAGGCGCAAAGGCAGCAGGTGGAGGATCTGGTGGTGCGGCTGTGCTGCGAGCCCAAACCCTCGCTCTTCACGAGCGACCAGATTCAGCAAGGGTAGGTGACCCTCTGGCACACACATGGCAGGTCAGGTGGGGCAGGGGGAACAAGGGTAGGGGTGGCGGCAGGGCTGGACGAGAAGGAGGCGCAGAGGCAGCAGGTGGAGGATCTGGTGGTGCGGCTGTGCTGCGAGCCCAAGCCGCCGCTCTTCACGAGTGACCAGATTCAGCAAGGGTAGGTGCATGGATAGGGGAGGTGGGGTGCAGGGTGCAGGGTGCAGGGTGCATGGTTGAGGGTTCGGGGTTTAGGAGAGGTGCGTGCCCCTGTTGAATTGATTTTTGAATCGACTCACTATTTTGAGTCGACTCACTACTTTGAGTCGACTCAAGAATAGTCGACTCAAAAACAGGGTTGAGGGTTTGGGGTTTAACAGGAGGTGCGTGCCTCTGTTGATTTCTTCTCTCTTCCTCCCTCTCTCTTCCTCCCTCTCTCTTCCTCCCTCTCTCTTTTCCCTCTTTCCCTCCCCCCTTACATTCTCGTTCATTGCCCCTGTCGACTCTGCTCCCTTCTATCGCACATCCCACTCAAGTCATCCCACTCACGTTATGCCCCCTGTCCCCCTTCCCGCCCACCCATTCCCATCTTCCCTTTCTTCCTCCTCCTCCCCCTTCCCCCCCCCCCCCCCCCCCCCCCCCCCCCCCCCCCCCCTTTTTCCCTCTTGCCAGTCTGGTGAGAGTCTTCCAGGAGCTCGAGGATTGGTCAGTTGATGCCCCCAAGGCCCCGCAACACGTGGGCCGTCTGATTGGCCGGCTCGTGGCAGCTGGCGCCGTCCCATTGGCTGACGTGGCCCGGCTGGTGAAATCAGGCGGTGCAGAGGAAGGGAGTCTGGTGGAGATGGGTGAGGGGATGAAGGTGATGGCAGCAGTGGTGGGCGCGGTGAGGGGGGAGAAGGGGGAGAAGGAGGCGGGGGAGATGGTGCGGGCGGCGGGGATAGATGGACCCGAGGAATTCATGGAGGAGAGAGCGAGAGGGAGGAAGGAGAAGGTGGAAGAGGCGAGGAAGGCTCTAGGGCTGGCAGGTGCTGCAGACCCGGTGAGTGGTGTGAGAGTTGTGAGTGTTGTGAGTGGTGTGAGTGGTGTGGGTGGTGTGAGTGGTGTGAGTGTTGTGGGTGGTGCAAGTGGTGCGAGTGGTGTGCATGGTGCGGGCGGCGGGGATAGAGGGGCTGGAAGAGTTTATGGAGGAGAGAGCGAGAGGGAGGAAGGAGAACGTGGAGAAGGCGAGGAAGGCCCTTGGGCTGGCAGGTGCCACAGATCCGGTGAGTGGTGTGAGTGCTGTAGATGCGGGGAGTTGTGTGTGCTGCGAGTGTTACACAAGTGATGAGGGGAGAACATTCCTGGCCCCTCCCCCCCCTCCGCCCGTTATCTTCCCCCGCCCCTCTCTCTCTCCCTCATTTTTTTGTCTGAGCACATTCCTGAACAACACTTGTGTTACATGGATGCACACTCCTGACCTCTCTCCCGTCTCCGTTGTCCCTCCTCCTCTCTCTCATTCCTCTCAGCTGGAAGCAGTGGCAGAGCACCTGAAAGACGCTTTTGCCAAGGGGGAATCAGCAGAGGCTGTGCTTAAATGGCTGCAGGTGAGATCTCAGGTGCCTTCAGGTGAGATCTCAGGTGCCTTCAGGTGAGATCTCAGGTGCCTTCAGGTGGAGTTTCAGATGAGACTGTGATGTATGTGTGGCCGGGAGAAGTAGCCACTCCATCTGGCGCAAGAGCATGCAACGTACCCCCCCATTCAACAGCATCTCTCTCCTGTATGCCTTCTTGGTTTCGACTTTCAACAACATCAGCCTGCCTCTTTGCCTCCTTCCCTTCCCTGTGACTGCTGCAGACCAACACTCCACCTGACACCCCAACGCAGCCGGCTTTCCTGCGCCTGCTCATGCGCTCGCTGCTGCAGCAGTGCATCGGTGATAGCAGACAAGACTTCAAGGTATGGACCTGACTGACTGTTTGACTGGCAGGCTGACTTCTTGTTGAATTTGAGTTGAGTCAAAGGCCATGCCGCGCGCTAGCTGCAGCAGCAGTGCATCGGCGCTAGCAGACATGAATACAAGGGATTGACCTGACTGGCTGACTGCCTGGTTGCTGACTGACCGACCGACCGACCGTCCAACTGACCTGCCAACCGAATGAGCGACTGTCTGTCTACCTTCACTTCGTCCCAAGTGACTGAGTGACTGTCAGGCGGGTGATTCTTTTGTTCAGTCCGTTCCCTCCATCCATTTTCTGTGCATCCCTACCTGCTAGTGTCTTCGCTGCTGCAGCTCTTCCGTCTTTGTTTCTAATGGGCAATCTTCTCAACAATGTCTTTCCTTTCTTGCTGATGATTGGCTTGTTGCTGCTGGCGATTGGCGTGTGACTGAAAGCAGAAGCTACTGGCAGGGCCAGTGAAGAAGTATGCCAAGGTCTTCCAGGAGTATGCAGCAAAGAAGCAAAAACCCAACCAGGTTCAATGTGAGTGCTTCCTTCCCATTCGCTTCTCCGTTCCACCACTTCCGTTCCCGATTCTGCTAGGACCTTCTTTTTTCCAGTTTCTTCTCTATTCTTTCCCATAAGTGACTTCAATCTTCTGGAAGCTGCTTCTTTCCTGGCGACTCTCCCAGAAGCTGCTTCTTTGTTTTTACAACTTATAATTGCACCTTTTATTTTTATTGCACCCCCGCCTTCAGATCTTTTCGGAGCTCAAGAATTCGCAGAGTCGTGTGGGCACCCAGCGGGCCTGCTAGACGCGGTCTTCAAAACACTCTACGACCTCGATGTGAGTCTCGTCCCTTGCACACTGTTCCTTTTGAGGCGCCTCAAAACTAGACGCGGTCTTCAGAACACTCTACGACCTCGATGTGAGTCTCGTTCCTTGCACACTGTTACACTGTTTCTTTTGAGGCGCCTCAAAACTAGACGCGGTCTTCAGAACACTCTACGACCTCGATGTGAGTCTCGTTCCTTGCACACTGTTACGCTGTTCCTTTTGAGGCGCCTCAAAACTAGACGCGGTCTTCAGAACACTCTACAACCTCGATGTGAGTCTCGCTCTTTGCACACTGTTCCGGCACTCGCTCATTCTCTCTGTCCTGCTTCCATGCACCTGATGGTCCACATGCTTCTACAACCAGCACGTGTTCTGAGTCAACTCAAAACACGACTTTGTTCCGTCACTTGCTCATTCTCTCTGTCCTGCTTCCATGTTCCTGATGGTCCTCATGCTTCTACAACCAGCACGTGTTCTGAGTCGACTCATAACACGACTTTGTTCTGGCACTTGTTCATTTTTATGTTTTGCTTCCATGCACCTGATAATCCTCATGCCCCTACAACCAGCACATAGCCATTTCTTTCCCCCTCCCATCCCACTTCTGTTGCTCCCATTATTCCATGTGTTCCTGGGATTGAGTAGTAGAGCAGCTTAGGGAAGACAATTTTCTTGTAATCTCTTCTCCCCCCGGCCCTCCTCAAAGAGCATGTGTGGAGACCGCGTTGCCGGCACACTGTTCAGTCTCTTTCTCTGTCTGGGCGCAGTTGGTGGAGGCGCTCATTCCCCTAGAACCCTAAAAATACTACAAGCTCCCTAGATTTTAGCGTCTCAAAATCTCCTTTTCTGCGCCTTTGATCAATCCCCTCATCTTGTCCCTTTTGGGAGCAGGTGGTGGAGGAGTTGATGCTGTTTAGGTGGCAAGACGACAACAAGGACCCAACGCCTGGCAAGCAAAAGGTGCGTGCCATAGCTTCTGCAGAAGCAAGGATTGCCGTTTGGTTATTGTCAAGAAAGAGGGCTTTGTGCTTGATCGCTGGCATCACCTATTGTCGCTTTCTGTTTTGCATTTGTTGATTTATTTTCTCTATCTGCAGGCATATTTGGACGTGCGCCATTTTCTTAATTGGCTAAGTACGGCACAGGAGGAAGGCACAGAGGAAAACGGCGGTGATGAAAATGCTTGACTTCAGTATTCTACACCTGATGGAAAACTCAAAAAGTGCAGATCCATGGCTTTAGAAGGCCATAGATGATATCATTGAGAAGGCAAATGCCTACCACAATTCTGGTCACATTGTTGTTTGTATCTTTACTTCCTCAAATCCTCTGTTGCCTACACCGCAATACGCTACAATTTCGAATTTGCCTTCACTTGCGGAGATCTCAATGCTGAAGTTGTGCGACTGTTTTGGACGCGCCATCCACCCTTGATTATCGCCAGCTTGTTCAACACTGGTGCACATTCACTCGTGCGATGTTGATGTCCATGAACATGTCGCATGCGTCGTCACGCGCACGCTGCGACATGCTCGCAATATCGCCAAGTTTTCCATGTGACGCGAAACGCCCGTCACGATGGATTAGATCTTTCGCAACGTCGCCTCTCAGTCGTGCAAGGCACTTCTCAACCACCCAAGCGTACGTGTCTCCCAACTTCCGCCTCGTCTCCGACTCGGAGGTTGGCAAGAAGGCGGCTCCTTCAAATTGTGCGCAAGTTTTTTCCGCCTGCCACCAGCCTCTTTGGCAGCTTGCGCCAAAGTTGCGCGCGCAACGCCTGCGCTCGCGCCAATCTGGCTGCGCCCCCGCCCCTGGTCCTTCTCCAGGTGAGTCGGTTTCGTTCTGAAGCTTTCCACGTGGCTTTGGTTTTCCCTGTTTCTGCCGCGGGGCCCTTGAAACTGCCGATTTGCGGAGAGATGGGCGGAAAGGCAGGCGCGACATTATCCAGGTTTCTGTAGGCACCAGACAGGCACTGTTGTACACTAGGAAAAGCTTTTTGGTGTGTTGACACTTAGCCGAACCGAACCAAAGAGCAGTCATTAGTCCCGTGATCAGTCAGTCAGTGAGCAGCAAGCAAGTACAGTGCAGGAGGCTTGCTATGCAATGGTGCGGTGCTCATTTTGAGACAGCAGCAGCAACCGGCAAAACAACACGCAACTAGCACCCCTTGGCTAACCCTAAAGTCCACTCCTGTCGCTGTGAAGCTATTTTTCCCAGCCTTGTTCGCTCGAGAGCGTTAGTGTAGCTATTCGCGTGACAGTAGCGGCGGAGCTGTGGCGGCTGTCGTCTATTGCGCGATTTAAAAATCCAGGTTATCTTGATGTTACCGTAACTGGCGGGGAGTAAGTCGTGCTGTTCGTGGTAATCAGAAATCAAGTGCTTTTTTAGAATGGAGCGGCTATTATGTAGACCCTGTCTACGTTCGCGGGGTGAATGTAGATGACGTGACGTACATCGATACTTCTTAAATTCGTTTTCTTTGTAGCGACGCACTTTTCAGCTAGACACGTTTGAAGCCGCGCAGAGACGTGATAGAGGCATTCCCGACACGTCCGGAAGAATTGCGTTCCGTTCTTTCTGGCATCCTCGCCGTTCTTTCGACATAGCTAGGCAGCCTTGCGATGCTTTCGTCTGCTCTCCCCCCGTGTGACCGTCGGCTACAGACATAACATCGGGGATCGCCAAGCGGAAGTAGGGAGGGTTACCAGCTTTCGCCATGAACAGGTGCGATCGTCGTCGGGAACCGTCGCAACGGGTACCAGCTGTCAGGTGCAGCACAGAACGTGGCGTCACAGCGACCTTTGCAGTGACAGCATTTTAAAAGGAGCAGGTTGTTTTTTTCTGGAAACATTTCATGTGTGGTCCATTAGGTCGTTCCGACGTGTCGAGCTCTTGAGACCCCTCACAAATGTTCGTTGTTAACTGTCCATGTCGGACCTGATCTCCGGGGCCTTCATTGAGGTGTCTTTCCATCACCCGTTTGATTCTGGAGACGATGGTTCTCCGAGTTGGCTTGAAGTTTTATTAGAGCTGTTTAGGCGCCTTATTGATGGGCTAAACGGTTTCAGTCATAGGTCCTTCCAGCACCCCTTCCATTCCAGACGCGACGACCCTTCGAATCAAGTTGATCTTATTGGGGGTGTATGCTGGTTAAGGCTCGTAACTCAACCAGACGCGACGACCCTTTTGAGGCGCTTAAAAAAACTATTTATGACTCGCTGTAGGGGTGCGTGCCAGTACACGGCATTGAATACGATTTTGGAGTTGACTCAAACGTTCCTGCTTTGACTCCGACTCTTCCCTGTGGGTGTCATGCGTGCAGGTACAAGGTGATCAAGCAGATGGGCGATGGCACATACGGCACCGTTTGGAAGGCCATGAACCTCCACACCAATGAAATTGTGAGAACAACCATTTGACGATTTTCCTGTGACCCTTCTAGATTGTGTCGCCGGTTCTACGCCGTGTTTGCTGCTGTCTTCTGCGGGTGCATCTCGCCGTGCGTTGCGCCGCGTATTACGCCGTGTGTCACAGTCTCAGTGCCCCCTCTTCCTCTCCCCTCCGTTCCTCTCCGTCCGCTCCCCCTTTCCTCCATTCGCCCCCTCCCCCCCCCCCCCCTCCTCTCTTCCCCTCCCTCGCCCCCGACCCCCGCCGCCTCCCCCTCTTCCTCTTTTCCGCAGGTGGCGGTGAAAAAGATGAAGCGGAAATTTTACTCGTGGGAGGAGTGTATGAGTTTGAGAGAAGTCAAGGTAAGCGCTTCAAAAAGCTGCAAGCCTCCTTAAGAATCCGAGGCGATAGCTGAATTGGACCGCGCGAGCAGAGCGCTGGAGCGAGCTGAAGTGACTCTAAGTTTCCGATATGCCTTTTGAGTGCACTCAAAAGTCATATTGGGTGATACAAGTTTCCATTTTTGTACGTTTTGCCCCCGTTTTCTGTTCTGCCTGCCTCTGTTCGCCACATTTACGTCCCCAACCTTCGCTGATCGGTTGCTGTGCAAGCAAAACCGGGACCCCCCTCCCCTCTTACGTCGTCTCTGATTCTTTTCCTCACCCTCCGCCAGTTGCTGCGCAAGCGGAACCATATTCTTCGCTCCCCCTCCACCCGCCCTTCCCCTGGTCCTGTCCCGCGCCCCCCGCTTCACTCACGTTACCCGCCTCCCCCTCAGCATTCAGCAGTTGCTGCACAAGCTGAACCACATTCCCCCCTCCTTTCCCCTGCCCTCCCACCACATCACCCCCCCTCCTCATCGTGCGCCAGTCACTGCGCAAGCTGAACACACATTCACCCTCATCTCCTCCCGTTCCCCTCCCGTTCCCCCCCTCCCATCCCATCGCCCCCCCTCCTCACCGTGCGCCAGTCGCTGCGCAAGCTGAACCACAGCAACATCGTGCGGCTGAAGAAGGTGTTCGGGGAGAACAACGAAGCCCCCACATCAGTCACGTTCCTCTCCCCCTCTTCTCCCCTCCCCTCCCCCTCATGCACCAGTCGCTGCGCAAGCTGAACCACAGCAACATCGTGCGGCTGAAGGAGGTGATCCGCGAGAACAACGAGCTCTTTTTCATCTTTGAATACATGGTGAGGCTCTTAAGGCGCCTAACCGAGCTGAGCTGACTTCTTCTTTTGAGTGACTCATGAGTCGACTCGAAAGCCACATAGGAAAACAACAAGCTATTTTTCATCTTCGAATACATGGTGAGGCTCTTGAGAGTTTGGGACAGGAGCGACGAGATTTGCTTGTTTTCTAATGCATGGTGGGTGGGATCAGTTGGCCTGCCGTGGTGACACTTGTTCGCCTGCCACTTTCCCCCCCCTGGCCCCAGCTGTCTTTCTCACAGACAGCAGTCTGTGATTAAGAGGAATGGCCGTGTATTGATTTTTCCCCCTCCCGTTCTCCCGCCCTGCCCCCAAACCTCCTCTCTCGCAGGACTGCAATCTTTACCAAGTCATGAAGGACAGAGAGACGCTTTTTCCCGAGTCGAAAATACGCAGCTGGATGTACCAGGTACGAGAACCCTCCCCCTAGCGAGGCGACTTTTGAGTTGCAAGGGCTAGCGTACATGCACAAGCACGGGTACTTCCACCGCGACTTAAAACACGAGAACCTGCTCGTGACCCTCCCTCACCCCTCGCCTTCCCCATTCTCCTCCCGCCCCCTCCTCTCCAGGTGCTGCAAGGGCTAGCCTACATGCACAAGCACGGGTACTTCCACCGGGACTTAAAGCCCGAGAACCTGCTGGTGACTAAGGACGTGATCAAGGTGGCCGACTTTGGGCTCGCCCGAGAGGTGCGGTCGCGGCCGCCCTTCACAGACTATGTCTCCACTCGATGGTAAGCTGGAGAGGAGAACGGAGCCCATGTTGTAGAGATTTGGATGTATCTTGAACGGACTATTAAGTAAGAGGTGAAGTCACGACCCCGCCCTTCACAGACTGCGCTCTCATGCGACGGTATGCTCCACACTCGAGGAAGTGCTGCTGTGCCCCATCCGTGTCTGCTCTCCCCTCCTCTCCCTCCTCTCCCTCCCTCTCCCCTCCTCCCCCTCATCTCCCCTCCTATCCCCTCCTCTCCCTTCCTCTCCCCTTCTCTCCCCTCCTCTCGTCTCCCCTCCTCTCCTCTCCACTCGTTTCCTCTCGTCACTGAGCAGGTACCGTGCTCCAGAGGTGCTGCTGCAGTCCACCGTGTACAACGCCCCCATTGGTACGTGCCGTGCTCCCTGCTGTATTAAAAGTCTGTCGTCCCAAACCCCCAAGGTGCTGCCTGCTCCATCGTCGAACGTGCCGTGCTCCTTGCTGTATTTCAAAGCTCCCCTGTTATCCGTGTTTCCCCCGCGCCGGCTCCCTTCTTTTTGTCCCCCTTCCCCTCTTCCCGACCTCCCCGAACGCAACCCCCCAACTAATGCAGATATGTGGGCGATTGGGGGCATAATGGCGGAGCTATTTTCGCTCCGCCCGCTCTTCCCTGGCGCCAGGTGCGGATGGGTTGGGATGGGTGCATGGGGATCACTGGGGCATGTGAATTACGGGGGCATCACATGGGAATGTGGCCACATGAAGCACAGCATTCAAGGCTCATCTTCTTCACGAAGCACTACGATCTTCCCCTCTCACCGCTCCCAATCGTTCCATATCCACTGCACATCTCCCATACCATGCACAACCTATCTCCCATACCCCTTTTATCTCCCCTTCCTCCCCGCCCCTGGCAGCGAGATCGACGAGATAGTGAAGATCTGCTCTGTCATCGGTACGCCCACAGTGCACACGTGGCCGCAGGGCCTCAAGCTCGCCGCTGCCATGAACTTCCGCTTCCCTGAGGTGGGTGGGGCCGTGGGGGTTGGGTGAGTGGGAGGGCGGGTGGTTGGGAGGGTAAGGCTGTGGGTGGGTGGATGGGTCCCTCGCACCTGAAGCTCGAATGCAAGCCACACGCCCATGGTGCACACGTGGCCGCAGGGCCTCAAGCTCGCTGCTGCCATGAACTTCCGCTTCCCTGAGGTGGGTTGGTGGGCTGGTTGGGTGGGTGGGTGGGCGGGCGGGTGAGTGGATGGATGGGTGGGTGGATGGGTGGGTGGATGGGTGGGGCACTCGCACCTGGTTACGACCTGGACGCCTTATCATTATCTTTTTCACTCTCCAACCCCTCCCCTCTCCATCCGCCATCCCCCACCCAACACCAGTACTCGCCCATCCCGCTGTCGAAGCTCATCCCATCTGCCTCCCCGGAAGCCATTGACCTCATGATGCTGCTCTTCTCCTCACTGTCTCAGCATTCCCTTTTTTCCCCTTTCAAACCCCCCACACTCCCTACCCCACACCCCCCCCCCCCCCCCCTGCCCCTCTTCTCCTCCCCTTTCCCCAACACCAGTACTCGCCCATCCCGCTGTCGAAGCTCATCCCATCTGCCTCCCCAGAAGCCATTGATCTCATGACGCTGCTCTGCTCATGGGACCCCGCCAGGCGACCCACAGCCGCACAGTCGCTGCAACACCCGTTTTTCCTGGTGGGTTGGGGAGGGGAGTGGGTAACAGGAGGGAATTGGGTAGCAAGTGGGGAGGTAGGAGGGTGGATTACATGACGCTGCTCTGCTCATGGGACCCGGCCAGGCGACCCACGGCCGCGCAATCGCTGCAACACCCTTTTTTCCTGGTGAGTAACAAGATGGGATGGGAGGGGATGGTGGGGGTGGGATCACATGACGCACGCTGCAATGCTCCTGGGACCCTGTCAGACGACCTTGCCCCCCATCCCATGTTGTGCCCTACTCTCATTTTCCTTGCCATAACATCTCCTCTGCGGTTCTGCCCTCCCCTCTTTGGCCACCCACACTCCTTTCTTCCCCTCCCCTCCCCCAGAGCGGAATCCAGGTCCCCCCAGTCATGCCGTCACCCAAGCCAAACCCCACCAACTCCAGCCGCACCCACCCCGTCACATCGCCGCACCTCCCCTCCCTTCCACAAGCCGCCAGCAAGCCATACAGCCACCTAGACGAGCACTTGGACGAGTGGGAAGGGGCGCCGGGGCAGTCAGGGGGAAGCGGGGCAATGGGGCCAGCGGGGGGGGGAATGGGCGCGGGAGGGGGAGCGGGAGGGGGAGGGGGGTATATGCAGCAGCAGGGGCAGGTGGTACAGCAGCAGCAGCAGAAGCAGCCGCTGCAGCCGCACCTGCTGCAGCAGCAGGGGGGGTATTCGAGTCAGGATAGCGTGGGGGCGAGAGCGGGAGCTTTGACTCAGAAGCAGCTGCAGCTGCAGCAGCAGCAGCAGCAGTTGCAGCAACAGCAACAGTTGCAGCAGCAGCAGCAATTGCAGCAGCAGCAGCAGCTTCAAAGGCAGCTGTCAGGGGTTAGTGGGGTGGAGCAGCAAGGAGCAAGGAGGGCGGCAGGGCAGTATGGGCAGCAGCATATGGGGCAGCAGGTGGGGAAGCAGGTGGGGGGGGTGGGCATGGAGCAGCAGGGCTCGAGAGGGCGAGGACAGGGGCAGCAATACGCGCAGCAGTTGCAGCAGCAGTACCAGCAGCCTTTGGACGTTGGAAGCGACCTGGCAGGACCTGGGCTTGAAGCAATGACTCCTAGATCTCGAGCCCAGATGCAGCAACAGCAGCAACAGCAGCAACAGCAGCAACAGCAACAACTGCAGCAACAGCAGCAACTGCAGCAACAGCAACTGCAGCAGCAGCAGCAACTGCAGCAGCAGCAGCAACAGCCTTACATGCAGATGCAGAAGCAACCGCTGACGCTGCAGACCCAGCTGTCTGGGGTGAACGCGGCTGCACTGGAAGCTCTAACCCCTCGCGCCCGTGCCCAGTACTACCAGCAGCAGCAGCAGCAGAAACCGCTGCAGACGCAGCTTTCAGGTGTAGGCCTTGACCCGCTAACCCCCCGATCCCGCCAGCAGCAGCAGCAGCAGCAAGCACAGTCACTGTACCAGCAGCAGCAGCAGCAGCTGCTGCAGTCCCAGCTGTCAGGGGCGGGCTTGGAGGCTATGACTCCTCGGTCGAGGTCCCAGGCCCAGCAGCTTTTCCAGCAGCAGCAGATGATGCAACAGATGATGCAGCAGCAGCAGCTGCTGGAGGCTCAGGCAGGAGGGCAGGAGCAGGCCCAGGCTCGCATGCGTGCCCGCGCTCCTCCCCCGTTGCAGCAGCCGCAGCAGGGAATGGGGCAGGGGCAGGGGCAGGGGCAGGGACAGGGGATGGGGCCAGGGCAGGATTACAGCATAGTGTCTCCCCGGGCCATGCAGTCCTTTCAAGATGGGGGCTATGCCGGGCCGGCGGGCCTGCCGGAAAACTTTTCGGGCAGACCGGATCCGATGCATATGGACGGAGGGGGAGGGGGGTTGGGTGGAGGCGGAGGGGGAGGGGGAGGGGGAGGGGGAGGGAAGTCGTCGCAGGGTATGGGGTTCCTGGGGAGGAAGATTGCTTCCAAGAGCGTGAGTGGGAGGAATCAACAGCCTGCTGGGGACGGTGGGGGAGGGGGAGGAGGGGGAGGAGGGCGGTTGGCGTCATTGCAAAGATATGGCAGCCAATTACTAGGTGAGAGGCAAAGGTGGCATGATTGGTACCGCTTGCGCAAAGCACTTGGTTCAAATGGGGGAAGGGCAAAAAGCATTTGGTCTATGGGTATAACCAAACGCCCATACTTCCTCCTTTCCTATTGCCCCACTTGTATCCATCCCCTCCCATCCGCTCCCACCTCCTTCCTTCCCCGATCTGCCTCTCTAACTGTCATCAATCTCCTCTCCTCCCTCCCTGGCTTTTGAGTCGACTCAAAAGCTGCCTCTCTGACTGTCATCAATCTCCTCTCCTCTCTCCCTTGGCAGGCATATCGCGGCACTCGAATGACTTCCTGAGGCACCTCAAATATTATTTCTGCTGCTTCCTCATCAATCTACTCTCCTCTCTCCCCTGGCAGGCATATCGCGGCACTCCAATGCATCTTCATCTCGATCTAACGCTACAGGAGCGGCCCCAATGGTACACCCTCCTCCCCCCCTCTCCTCATCCTTCCCCCCTCTCCCTCCCCTCTCTTCCGTCATTTTCCCCCCAACCCCCACCCTCCAACAACCCTCCGCCTTTTCAACCCCCCCACCTTCCCAACTTCTATTTTCTGACTGTGTGGTTTCGTTTGTCTTGGCTCTTCCTGCATTTCTTGGCTCTTCCTGCATTTCTTGGCTCTTCCTGCATTTCTTGGCTCTTCCTGCATTTCTTGGCTCTTCCTGCATTTCTTGGCTCTTCCTGCATTTCTTGGCTCTTCCTGCATTTCTTGGCTCTTCCTGCATTTCTTGGCTCTTCCTGCATTTCTTGGCTCTTCCTGCATTTCTTGGCTCTTCCTGCATTTCCTGGCTCTTCCTGCGCTTCTCTCTCTTGCCTTGTTACCTCATCCTGCCCTAATCTTCCTTCTCATCTTGTGATGATGATGACGCATGGATCGTCATCAGGCCTCATCACAGCAATCACCACCACCATGCACCACGTATCATCACGGCACATCACAGCAATCACCACCACCATGCACCACGTATCATCATGGCACATCACAGCAATCACCACCACCATGCACCACGTATCATCACGGCACATCACAGCAATCACCACCACCATGCACCACGTATCATCACGGCACATCACAGCAATCACCACCACCATGCACCACGTATCATCACGGCACATCACAGCAATCACCACCACCATGCACCACGTATCATCACGGCACATCACAGCAATCACCACCACCATGCACCACGTATCATCACGGCACATCACAGCAATCACCACCACCATGCACCACGTATCATCACGGCACATCACAGCAATCACCACCACCATGCACCACGTATCATCATGGCACATCACAGCAATCACCACCACCATGCACCACGTATCATCATGGCACATCACAGCAATCACCACCACCATGCACCACGTATCATCACGGCACATCACAGCAATCACCACCACCATGCACCACGTATCATCACGGCACATCACAGCAATCACCACCACCATGCACCACGTATCATCACGGCACATCACAGCAATCACCACCACCATGCACCACGTATCATCACGGCACATCACAGCAATCACCACCACCATGCACCACGTATCATCACGGCACATCACAGCAATCACCACCACCATGCACCACGTATCATCATGGCACATCACAGCAATCACCACCACCATGCACCACGTATCATCACGGCACATCACAGCAATCACCACCACCATGCACCACGTATCATCATGGCACATCACAGCAATCAACCACCATGCACCACGTATCATCATGGCACATCACAGCAATCACCACCACCATGCACCACGTATCATCACGGCACATCACAGCAATCACCACCACCATGCACCACGTATCATCATGGCACATCACAGCAATCACCACCACCATGCACCACGTATCATCACGGCACATCACAGCAATCACCACCACCATGCACCACGTATCATCACGGCACATCACAGCAATCACCACCACCATGCACCACGTATCATCACGGCACATCACAGCAATCACCACCACCATGCACCACGTATCATCACGGCACATCACAGCAATCACCACCACCATGCACCACGTATCATCATGGCACATCACAGCAATCACCACCACCATGCACCACGTATCATCACGGCACATCACAGCAATCACCACCACCATGCACCACGTATCATCACGGCACATCACAGCAATCACCACCACCATGCACCACGTATCATCATGGCACATCACAGCAATCACCACCACCATGCACCACGTATCATCATGGCACATCACAGCAATCACCACCACCATGCACCATGTATCATCACGGCACATCACAGCAATCACCACCACCATGCACCACGTATCATCACGGCACATCACAGCAATCACCACCACCATGCACCACGTATCATCATGGCACATCACAGCAATCACCACCACCATGCACCACGTATCATCTTACCCCATCTAGTTTTGAGACGTCTGAAAAGTTTTTTGAGTTTTGAGACTTCTTAAAAGTATCATCATGGCACATCACAACTATTTCCACAATCATGCACCACGTATCATCTTACCCCATCAGGACATGCAGATGGACACATCACCGCACATGGCAGCACCTTCATCCCGCAAGTCTGCAGCAGGTGAGGCCTGCAGCTCTTGAATTCGCTTCTTCCCTATTCGCTCTCCCGCTCCTTCGATCTCTCTCCCTTGCTCATCCCCTTTTCTGCTAAGAAAGGCTGGTTTCTGCTAAGAAAGGCTGATTTCTGCTAAGAAAGGCTGGTTTCTGCTAAGAAAGGCTGGTTTCTGCTACCCTCCGTATCTTCCTTTCTTTTGCCCCCTCCCCCTATGCCCCCTCCCCTTGTGCCCCTTTCCCTTTACCAGCACTAGCACGGGCAGGGTCAGCAGCAGCAAGCATGGCAGCAGCAGGGCCCCCCTCGCCTCACGACCCCAGTGCGGGCTATTCCAGGTACGGTGCCTGCCTGGTTATGCTGTTATGATGCACGTGCTATTCAAGGTATGGTGCCTGCCTGTTGTGACCCCAGATGTGACTTTTGAGGCGCCTCAAAAGCAGCAACTATGGCAGCAGCAGGGCCCCCATCGCCTTACGACCCCAGTGCGGGCTATTCCAGGTATGGTGCCTGCCTGTTGTGACCCCAGGTATGCTCTTTGAGTCACACGTTACGATGCACGTGTTGCTTTTTGCATGTTGGCCTGTGCGTGGAGGGACCGTGAGCACGTGTGCGTGGAATATCCCGGAACACCACCCGCTTGTAAGGATGTGACTTTTGAGTCGACTCAAAAGTCGCACGTGTGTGTGGAACATCCTGGAACACCACCCGCTCGTAAGGATGTCAAACGCATGGACATAATTTCTTGCATGTTGCACTGCGCATGCATGAGGTGTGAGTGAGAGCACATGTATGTGCCGAATCCACAGGCCTACGCATGCATCAATCAATCCTGCACGCCTCATTCCACTCCCCACCACCACCACCATCAGAATGGGGACCTATCCAGCAACACACGCCCAGGATGCATATGTGTATGGCAACGGGCCGGCAGATATGGGTCCCCCTGGGGATTACTATGGGGGGGGAGGCGGGCAGATGGATATGATGGGGGGAGGTGGGATGGACATGATGGGAGGAGGCATGGGGGGAGGGGCTGGAGGAGGTGGCATGGGGGGCCCAGGAGGGGGTATGGCACGAAACGGGAGATACTCGATGGATATGGGGGGTTATTCAGTTCACTGAGAGGCCGGTTTGTTGATTCTATTCTGCTGCTAACTTCTCGGCTGCAACTGCTGTTGCTGGTAACAAGAGTTTCGGCCCCGGTGATGCCGCTGATGCTGCTGTTGCTGTTGAAGGATCAAGTATCAGCAGCAGTCGTTATAACAAGAAGCAGCGCTGCTTAATCCTAACAACCACATAATGTCAAGGCTTACAATCCTCCAGCTAATTTCCCTTTTGTTTGCTCCTGTTCGTTCAAATCTTCTCGCCTCAAGATGGGTCTGGTCCAATCGGCAATTTGTTTGTGGCTGCATGTGCTAAAGATCGAGGCGAAACATAACATCTGTAAGGAAATTCCCTTTTCCTTACTTCGCGTCCCTGCTCAACGCGTACATCACTGTAGCACCTCAGTCAGCACCGTTACCACTCGCGACCATCGCATCATTCATCATCCCGCCATTTTCGCACATCGCATCCCGACCTCACGGCTTGGCTGGTAACCCGCGCTCCGGGTCTACGCTTCGACACTTTCCCAACCTCAGTCCCAGGCTCGTCGCGCGACCATTACCGTTACCACTATAGTTTCGCTATATAATGTTCGCTCATGCCTTCGCTCATTTGGATTCTTGCTTCGATAGTGCAATTCTCGTTCGTTCACTCAAATTGCACTCGTAACACTTGGTATTCAGAGCCTACGATCTCATCTCGGACCGCACCCACACCTTCGCTTCCCACTATCTCAATTTTTGGGGGGGGTAGACGTCTCTCAGCGACACAGCACCGCCGCTCGTAGTGCTCTCTCGAAAGCACGCACGGCCACGACCGAGGCTCTCGCTGAGCTTGCCCGACACCCCCGCCATGGCCGATTTCAATCTCGCCACGTTGACGCAGGAGCAACTCGATCGTCTCGTGCGTCAATTGGAGGATTCGGCGCTCGAAATCGCGACTCTCACGGCGGAACGTGACTCCGCCCGTCAACAGTCAACAGTGAACGTACCGACGACATCACATGCACCAACCAATGCATCTGCACATTCGGAGGAGCCCATCGTCATCTCATCCGGCACACCAACGCAACACAACAGCACGGGACAGCGCTCAGGCGCAGCCAGTGACGGCGCAGCCCAACCGATGCCCGGCATGGGAGGGAACAGGAGCGCATTAAGCCCACGGGAGCCCCGAGAAGCCCGTCGGCACGTGGGGTTTGCGGCGACAAGTGGCGAGAACGCCGTGATGGCCCCAATGCCACTCAAGCCGCAACGCCCGCCCTGCTTCGACCCAAGCCAACGCGGCGGCCCGACAGTTCAATCGTGGGTCTTCACGATGAATGTGTTTTTCGACGCCAACTACGTCGAGTCGGACGCCGCCAAGATCCGGTATGCGGTTTCACTACTCAGGGGCCCCGCCATGGACTGGTGGCGAGTCATTGTGACGTCGCCGCGCGCCTTCGAGCCACCGTCGCACGAGGAAGGGCCCTCGGGTCCAGCTGTTACCTGGAGTTCGTTCTGCGAAACCGCTCAATACAGCACGTGGGATGCGTGGTGCGCAGGGCTTCGGGCGCGCTTTGAGCCGATCGCGGCCTCGATTTCGGCGCGTCAGAAACTGCGCACTTGGCGCCAGCTCGGGTCAGTTCAAGACTACACCAGCGGGTTCCTCGCACTTTGCGAACAGGTCGGCTACATGCACGAGGCGGAGCGGGTGGACCGTTACGTCGGAGGGCTGACCGAGCACGCCACTGTACATGCCGTCGCAGCGAATGCAGCTGCCGCGCCGTTTAGAGGGCGCTGCTTTGCTTGCAACCGGCCGGACCATCGCAAGAGCGAATGTCCAGAGGAGCTGAGGCGTCGAGGAGCAGAGCAGGGGAGGGAGTCTCAGAGGCAGGGAAACGCCAGTAGTCAGTAGAAATTGGGCCAACTACTGACGAGACTGCCTGCTCGCCCAACCACACCGACCCTCACCGAGTCACAGTACCGATTCACGCCATCGATCGGGCTCGGATGAATAAGGAGGGTACAGCGACGGATTGCTCGGTACTGATCTACGGGAAAATACAGGGAGCAGCAGTGAAGATCTTCATTGACGGAGGAGCAAGCCACAGCTTAGTTAATACCGCAACCGCACGAAAATTACAGTTAACGCTTAACCGATGTTTACCTGAGATAGATGCACGCTTAGTCGACGGCACGCCCCTGGCCATACGGGAAAAGGTGGAGCGCGTAAAAGTCCGCTGCGGGGGGAACTTCGGGTTTACACAGGAAATGCTCGCGACGACACTGGATGGGCACGACATTTTATTGGGACGTGATTGGCTGCGACGGTACAACCCACGGATCGACTGGACGACGGGGAGCTGCACAGTACGGAGTAGTGGTAACTAGGTCGTTCTACCTCGCTGGCAGCCACCCGAATCTTCGACGGTCCAAGTCAACGCTATCACGATGAAACGGGCTGTCGCTGCTGGAGCTGACGTGTACGCAGTGGATATCGCACTCGTAGAAAAAGATGAGCAGCCGGGTGATTCGGAGAAACTGCTGGCGGCTGTACCGACCGAACTACAGGCACTACTGAAACGGTTCCCGGGGATATTTCCATATGATTTACCACAGGGACTGCCACCTCAGCGGGCGCACGACCATAGGATCGAGTTAGAACCGGGGGCACAGCCAACTGTACAGCGGCAATTTCGACTGACACAGCCCGAGCTCGACGAGTTAAGGAAGCAGTTAGATTACCTGTTAGAGAAGCAGTTTATCCGAGCGAGCTCGTCACCGTTCGCCGCACCGATACTGTTCACACCGAAAAAAGACGGAGGGTTCCGCATGTGCATCGACTACCGAGCGCTTAACAGGGTCACAGTCAAATCGCGATACCCCATCCCCCGCGCCGACGAACTGATCGACCAGCTGCGAACAGCACGAGTCTTTTCGAAAATAGATTTACGGGGAGGTTACCATCAGATTCAGGTCGAACCATCGGACTGCGCCAAAACAGCATTTAGGACTAGGTACGGGTCATTCGAGTATACAGTAATGCCATTCAGGCTGACGAACGCGCCTGCGACATTTCAGATGACCATGAACGAGGCGTTTAGACCACTTTTAGATAAATGCGTGATAGTTTACCTGGACGATATTCTAGTTTACAGCCGGGATAAGCAGCAGCACTTAGTGGATCTTGAAGCAGTTTTTAAGGTTTTGGAGGAACATCGGCTACTCACCAAGGGCTTCAAGTGCGAGTTTTTTCGGGACAGGCTAGAATTTTTAGGTCACGTCATTTCGGAGGCTGGGGTTGAGATTGACCCAAAGAAGCTGGATACAGTAAAAGCGTGGCGCCCCCCTACGAACATCACGGAACTGCAGAGTTTTTTAGGTTTTGTTAATTACGTTCGACGGTTCGTGCCCGACATGGCACGTTTAACAGCCCCACTCACTGATTTACTGCGTAAAGGGGTCGCTTTTACGTGGGGGGAGAAAGAGCATGCTGCCTTCTCTGCCCTGAAAAACGTTCTCTGTTCACCACCCGTTCTACGCATCGCTGATCCCTGTCAAACATTATATCTGTTCTGCTTGTGTAGGCTACAGTGGGTTAGCCTATAGGGGGTACACAATTCTAGGGTTTCCTACTTGTACTCATTTCACTGCTAGTTCATTCATCCCTGTTCGCTGATTCTGACATGGTATAGAGCGGGTCCTTCTACGGACCGTTTTTTTGGGCCCACCGAAGCGCCCCCCGAGGCGCGATTTTTTTTTAGCGACCCCTCGGGTCGTCATTTTCCCTGCGGCCCCGCCGCTTTCTCTGACGCGGCCCCGCCGCCCTCTCTGACGGGGCCCCGCCGCCGGCCCTTACGCGGCCCCGTCGCCGGCTCTCACGCGGCCCCGCAGCAGGCTCTGTCGCGGCCCCGCCCCGGCCTTTACGCGGCCCCGCCGCCTGCTCTCACGCGGCCCCGCCCCGGCTCCTTCGCGGCCCCGCCGCCTGCTCTCGCGCGGCCCCGCCCCGGCTTCTACGCGGCCCCGCCCCGGCTTTCACGCGGCCCCGCCGACGACTTTGTCGCGGCCCCGCCCAGGCCGCGGCCCCGCCACCTGCTCTCACGCGGCCCCGCCCCGGCTCCTTCGCGGCCCCGCCGCCTGCTCTCGCGCGGCCCCGCCCCGGCTTCTACGCGGCCCCGCCCCGGCTTTCCCGCGGCCCCGTCGACGGCTCTGTCGCGGCCCCGCCCAGGCCCTTACGCGGCCCCGCCGCCTGCCCCCGTCGCGGCCCGGTCGCCTCCTGACGGCCCCGCCGTCCCTTCGTGACGGCCCAGCCGTCCCCTCCTGACGGCTCCTGCCGTCACCTTCTACCGGCCCCGCAACTGCACCCGCTGGCCCCGCCGCTGCACCTACCGGCCCCCACCACCCAACCCCCCTTTTCCAGCAGAGGGGTGGCAGGTGCGTGGCCTCCCCTGCTTCTCCTCCTCCTTCATCGCTCACCTGCAGCCGCCGAGCCGCCCTGCACCCGAGCCGCCCAGCAGCCGAGCCGCCCTGCCGCCGAGCCGCCGAGTCGCTGAGCTGCTGAGCTGCTGTTGCTGCCGAGCCGCCCTGCCGCCGAGCCGCCGAGTCACCGAGCTGCTGAGCTGCAGTTGCTGCCGAGCCGCCTTGCCACCGAGCCGCCCGAGTCGCCCGAGTCGCCGAGCCGCCGAGCTGCCGAGCCACTGAGTCGCCGAGCCTACTCTTCCCACCACTGGTGAGCTCTTGCCCTGCTAGCACGCTGCGCGTCGCCTGCTTGCCTGCCTGCCTGCCTTTTGGCTTGCCTGGCTGCCTGCCTTCCTGCTGCTAGTCCTGCTCCTGCTTCTACTTGCGGAGCCAGATGCAGCCCCAGCGACGCCTGCGTGAGTCCCTCACGCCCCAGCAGCTGCGTGAGTGGTACGCTGGTTGGGGCTGTAGGGGTGGCGACGCTACTCCTACTTCCACTCCTGCTGCTTCTACTCGTGGTGGCGGCCAGATGCAGCTCCCGCGACCCTCTCGCGTGTCTCTCACGCCTCGCCAGCTTCG